TGTGGTGTGTGTGTGGTGTGTGTATGTTGTGTGTGTGTGGTGTGGAGTGTGTGGAGTGTGTGTGTGGTGTGTGGTGTGTGTGTGTGGTGTGTGTGTGGTGTGTGTGTGGTGTGTGTGTTGTGTGTGTGTGGTGTGGAGTGTGTGGAGTGTGTGTGTGGTGTGTGTGGTGTGTGTGTGGTGTGTGTGTGGTGTGTGTGTGGTGTGTGTGGTGTGTGTGTGTGGTGTGGGTGTGTGTGGTGTGTGTGGTGTGTGTGTGGTGTGTGTGTGTGGTGTGGGTGTGTGTGGTGTGTGTGGTGCGTGTGTGGTGTGTGTGGTGTGTGTGGTGTGTGTGGTGTGTGTGGTGTGTGGTGTGTGGTGTTTGTAGTGTGTGGTGTGTGGTGTTTGTAGTGTGTGGTGTGTGGTGTTTGTAGTGTGTGGTGTGTGTGGTGTTTGTAGTGTGTGTGGGTGATGGGGGGTGGGTGATGGTGGGTGGGTAATGGTGGGTGGGTAATGGTGGGTGGGTAATGGTGGGTGGGTAATGGTGGGTGGGTAATGGTGGATGGGTGGGTGGGTGATGGTGGGTGGGTGATGGTGGGTGGGTGATGGTGGATGGTGGGTGGGTGATGGTGGATGGGTGATGGTGGGTGGGTGATGGTGGATGGTGGGTGGGTGATGGTGGATGGTGGGTGGGTGATGGTGGATGGTGGGTGGGTGATGGTGGATGGTGGGTGGGTGATGGTGGATGGTGGGTGGGTGATGGTGCTGTTAACATTTACTTGTTTCGTTTTCGCGGCAAGCGCCGATCACCAGCAGGAGACCGGTCAGCCGGCTGGCTGACCAGTCAGCCGGTCAGCCTACTGGTCAGCCAGTCAGCCAGTCAGCCGGTCAGCCTGCTGGTCAGCCAGTCAGCCGGTCAGCCTGCTGGTCAGCCAGTCAGCCGGTCAGCCTGCTGGTCAGCCAGTCAGCCAGTCAGCCAGTCAGCCGGTCAGCCTGCTGGTCAGCCAGTCAGCCGGTCAGCCTGCTGGTCAGCCAGTCAGCCGGTCAGCCAGTCAGCCGGTCAGCCGGCTGGTCAGCCAGTCAGCCGGTCAGCCAATCAGCCGGTCAGCCAATCAGCCGGTCAGCCTGCTGGTCAGCCAGTCAGCCGGTCAGCCTGCTGGTCAGCCAGTCAGCCGGTCAGCCTGCTGGTCAGCCAGTCAGCCGGTCAGCCTGCTGGTCAGCCAGTCAGCCGGTCACAGCCAGTCAGCCGGTCAGCCTGCTGGTCAGCCAGTCAGCCGGTCAGCCAATGGGTCGGCTGGTCAGCCGGTCAGCCGATCGGCCGGTCGATCAGCCGGCCGACCGCGAAACTCGAAAGAAGAAAATGGTTCGTTCCCAAAGTGCCACTCAGGGGTCCTCGCTGAATCGGTGAAAGAAAAACGTGGAAAAGTCGGAGGGACGGGGGTGGGGGGGACGGGGATGCGGGTGGAGGGGTCGGGGGGTGACAACATCCGGACCGGATTCTCCGAGCGTGGACCGGAGCGGATGGGCGCGTGGTGGCGATGGTGGTGGTGGGGGGGTGGTGTACGGAGGTGGGGCCCGGATGTTGTCCTCAGTTGAAGTGGAACTTGAATTGGGGTCCCCCGGAGCCGAAGGGGTTGAAGCCCCCCGGGAAGGGGTGCCAGCCACCCCCGCCGCCGCCCCCCCTCTGCCAGGGGTTCCCCCCGCCGCCCTGTTGGCTCTCGGGGTCCAGGGGATCCTCGCCGGCGTCGAATTTGCTCCTCTTCTCTGTGGGGCAGGAGAGGCGCGGAGGAGAGAGCGTTAGCGAGGGTGGGTCATGGTGGGTGGGTGGGCGATGGTGGGTGGGTCATGGTGGGTGGGTGGGTGATGGTGGGTGGGTGGGCGATGGGGTGTGGGCGATGTCGTGCGGGCGATGTCGTGCGGGCGATGTCGTGTGGGTGATGGGGTGTGGGTGATGTCGTGTGGGTGATGGGGTGTGGGCGATGTCGTGTGGGTGATGGGGTGCGGGCGATGGGGTGTGGGTGATGTCGTGTGGGTGATGGGGTGTGGGCGATGGGGTGTGGGCGATGGGGTGTGGGCGATGGGGTGTGGGCGATGTCGTGCGGGCGATGGGGTGTGGGCGATGGGGTGTGGGCGATGGGGTGTGGGCGATGGGGTGTGGGCGATGGCGTGTGGGCGATGGGGTGTGGGCGATGGGGTGTGGGCGATGGGGTGTGGGCGATGGGGTGTGGGCGATGGGGTGTGGGCGATGGGGTGTGGGCGATGGCGTGTGGGCGATGTCGTGCGGGCGATGGGGTGCGGGCGATGGCGTGTGGGCGATGGGGTGTGGGCGATGGGGTGTGGGCGATGTCGTGCGGGCGATGGGGTGTGGGCGATGGGGTGTGGGCGATGGCGTGTGGGTGATGGGGTGCGGGCGATGCCGATCCGTTTGCTCGTTTCATTTTCTCGACAAGCACCGATCACCTGCAGGAGAAGCCGCTCGGTCGGTCGGCCAGTCCGGCTGACCGGCTGACTGACCAACAGTCAGCCGGTCGGTCAGCCAGTCGGTCAGCCAGTCGGTCGGTCAGCCGGTTAGCCAGTTGGTCAGTCAGCCAGTCAGCCAGTCAGTCAGTCGTTCAGCCAGTCGGTCGGTCAGTCAGCCACGGTGCCGGCCTTTATTAGGCGCCGCCCGCTAACAGAGCTTGCCCCAACAGTCTGATGCGGCTATACGGGGGATCTTAAGTTTTGTGTTGTGGCCCGAAACGTCGTGATTTTTTGCCATTTTATTTTTTACCTACTACGTGACTTTACCGCGTAGAGCCAAAAGAGTTATGGATCCTTGCAGTAACGACAGCTTCAAATCTAAGAAAGGATCTTAAGTTTGGTGTTGTTCATCCGGGGTTTAACGAAGCTGAATTGCAGTGTGAGGAGCTCACAGGATCCTTGAAAGATCTGGACACCGTTCCCATAGATGCCAACCCCCTTGTCAGTGCCCTACCTTATTACGGACCAATTCAGACATTATCGGTCACCCCCTGCCCCTTATAAATCTCAACGTTCATCCTACAAAGTCCCCCCTATCACAAGGGAGAGAAACACAAACAGATAGGCACAGGCTGGAGAAGAGATGGACCGATGAGTGAGCGGGCGAGTGAGAGAGCGAGTGAGAGAACAAGTGAGAGAACGAGTGAGTGCGAGTGAGAGAACGAGCGAGTGAGAGGGCGAGTGAGAGGGCGAGTGAGTGAGCGGATTAGTGAGAGAGCGAGCAAGCGAGTGATCGGGCGAGTGAGTTGGAGAGCGAGCGGGCGAGCGAGCGGGCGAGCGAGCGGGCGAGTGAGTTGGAGAGCGAGCGGGCGAGTGAGAGAGTGAGAGAGAGCGAGTGAGTGAATGAGTGACCGAGCGAGTGACCGAGCGAGAGTGAGAGAGCGAGCGAGCGATGTGTACCGGGGTCTGTGAGGACTTCCTTGGCCGCCGCGATGTCAATAAAGTGCTTCTCGGCTTTCTTTTTCTCGGACTCCGACTGGAAGTTGTCCGGGTGCCACTGCTGCGCCAGCTTGCGGTACGCCTTCACTATCTCCTGCTTCTTGGCAGACCTTCACACGGGAGGGGGGGGAAGAGAGACACACACATGCATGGCAGGGTTGCCGAGGAGATGTTGACTACCTCGCCTGGTGCGCAGGAGGTCGTGGGTTCGCTCCCGATCCTGACGACGCCTGCTGCCGCTGCTGCTGCTGTATATTTCCAGTCTGCGTCTCTCTCTCCCATCATCATCATCACGGTGGCTAGGAGATGTTGACTACCTCGCCTGGTATACAGGAGGTTGTGGGTTCGCTCCCGATCCTGACGTCTGCTGCTGTATATTTGGAGTCTGTATCTCTCTCTCTCTCTCATCATCATCACGGTGGCTATGAGATGTTGACTACCTCACCTGGTGTACAGGAGGTCGTGGATTCCATCTCGACCCTGACGATGCCTGCTGCTGTATATTTGCAGTCTGCGTCTCTCTCTCATCATCATCACGGTGGCTAGGAGATGTTGACTACCTCGCCTGGTCTACAGGAGGTCGTGGGTTCGCTCCCGATCCTGACGACGCCTGCTGCCGCTGCTGCTGCTGCTGTATATTTGGAGTCTGCGTCTCTCTCTCCCATCATCATCATCATCATCACGGTGGCTAGGAGATGTTGACTACCTCGCCTGGTGTACAGGAGGTCATGGGTTCGACCCTGACGCCTGCTGCTGCTGCTGTATTTGGAGTCTGCGTCTCACACTCTGCGTGGCCGCGTGGATTTTTCTCCGGGTCCTCCCGGAGAAAAACGTAGCCAACCGTGCTGTGTGTGTGTGTGTTGAATTTCTTTCACACCGTACGTAGCCAACCTTGCCGTGTGTGTGTGTTGAACGTCTTTCACACCGTACGTAGCCAACCGTGCTGTGTGTGTTGAACTTCTTTCACACTGTACATAGCCAACGGTGCTGTATGTGTGTGTGTGAACTTCTTTCACACCGTACATAGCCAACCGTGCTGTGTGTGTTGAACTTCTTTCACACCGTACGTAGCCAACCGTGCTGTGTGTGTGTGTTGAACTTCTTTCACACCGTACGTAGCCAACCGTGCTGTGTGTGTGTGTTGAACTTCTATCACACCGTACGTAGCCAACCGTGCTGTGTGTGTGTGTTGAACTTCTTTCACACCGTACGTAGCCAACCCGTGCTGTGTGTGTGTGTTGAACTTCTATCACACCGTACGTAGCCAACCGTGCCGTGTGTGTGTGTTGAACTTCTTTCACACCGTACGTAGCCAACCGTGCTGTGTGTTGAACTTCTATCACACCGTACGTAGCCAACCTTGCTGTGTGTGTGTGTTAAACTTCTATCACACCGTACGTAGCCAACCGTGCTGTGTGTCTGTGTTGAACTTCTATCACACCGTACATAGCCAACCGTGCTGTGTGTGTGTGTTGAACTTCTTTCACACCGTACGTAGCCAACCGTGCTGTGTGTGTGTGTTGAACTTCTATCACACCGTACGTAGCCAACCGTGCTGTGTGTGTGTGTTGAACTTCTTTCACACCGTACGTAGCCAACCCGTGCTGTGTGTGTGTGTTGAACTTCTATCACACCGTACGTAGCCAACCGTGCTGTGTGTGTTGAACTTCTATCGCACCGTACGTAGCCAACCGTGCTGTGTGTGTGTGTTGAACTTCTATCACACCGTACGTAGCCAACCGTGCTGTGTGTGTGTGTTGAACTTCTTTCACACCGTACGTAGCCAACCCGTGCTGTGTGTGTGTGTTGAACTTCTATCACACCGTACGTAGCCAACCGTGCTGTGTGTGTGTGTTGAACTTCTATCGCACCGTACGTAGCCACCCGTGCTGTGTGTTGAACTTCTATCACACCGTACGTAGCCAACCCGTGCTAGCCGAATAGCGCGGCGCGTAATGAATCACCACCGAGGCGGTGCCGGACCGACCTCTTGACCCCGAGGATCTTGTAGTAGTCCCTGCGTTGAGACTGCTTGAGGAGCTTCTGAGCCTTTTCGAGGCCCTCCCGAACGCCCGGAGCATTTTCATCCACCCCCCTCGCACGCTCGTAGTCAGCCACCGCTGTGTGGGGGGTGAGGGGTGAGGGATAGGGGGGGTGGGAACAGAATGAAGGACATCGCTCCGTCATCGATACGATCATCATCATCGTCGTCGTCGTCATGGAGAGCATGGGGCGGCGGGGGGGGGGGGGGGGGGCGGAAGAGGGGAATTGGGGGGGGGGGGTGGAGGGTGGTGCTCAGAAACGACGGACATCGCCCCGTCACCGACATCATCGTCGGCAGCGGCATCTTATTAGCACTTTCGGTAAAGTCACGTTGAAGGGGAACAATAAAATAATAAATATATATATATTTTATAATAAAATATATATTTGATTATTAATTACTGCAGTCACCAAAGGCTTTAAATAAAAAAACAGCAGCATCGTCGTCAAGGTAACGCTCTGCTTCTTGTCACACGTGGAGGGGGGGGGGGGCACGTCCGTGGGGGGGGGGGGGGCACGTCCGTGGGGGGGGGGGGCACGACCGTGCGTGGCGTCGTCATGGCAAAGTGTTCAAGGCTACGCGGGGGAGCTTTGTCTTTGCGGACTGTGCAGGCGCCAAACGGCAAGTCCACCGGCACGTACACCACCTCTTTTCTAAAATCGGCCAATCAAATTGCTAATTTTTATGCTAATTTCTTCGTCAGAACACCTTGTTTGCTCGCACACAGTTTAAAGGTCCGCTGTCTGAGCGTGGTTGTGTTTCGCTAAATTCTCCTGTTTGATGAGTACTAGGTGCCTCGGTGAATGTATATGCTCTGACTTTAACATAGCCATTTCTGTGACCAGTCACAAGCTAATCACTCAGCTATTTCAATGCTAAATTCGCCTAGTTATTTCAATGCTAAATTCTCCTGTTTGATCAGTACTAGGTGCCTCGGTGAATGTATATGCTCTGACTTTAACATAGCCATTTCTGTGACCAGTCACAAGCTAATCACTCAGCTATTTCAATGCTAAATTCGCCTAGTTATTTCAATGCTAAATTCTCCTGTTTGATCAGTACTAGGTGCCTCGGTGAATGTATATTCTCTGACTTTAACATAGCTATTTCTGTGACCAGTTACAAGCTAATCACTCAGTTATTTCAATGCTAAATTCGCCTAGTTATTTCAATGCTAAATTCTCCTGTTTGATGAGTACTAGGTGCCTCGGTGAATGTATATGCTCTGACTTTAACATAGCTATTTCTGTGACCAGTTACAAGCTAATCACTCAGTTATTTCATGCTAAATTCGCCTAGTTATTTCAATGCTAAATTCTCCTGTTTGATTTGTACTAGGTGCCTCGGTGAATGTATATACTCTGACTTTAACATAGCCATTTCTGTGACCAGTCACAAGCTAATCACTCAGCTATTTCAATGCTAAATTCGATGCTAATTCCTTTGTCAAGGGGTACCTCTGCGGATGTGTATACTTTAACTTAGCTATTTCAATGAGCCATTTCAATGCTAAATTATATGCTAATTCCTTTGTCAAGGTCGCTTGGTCTTTTTCTTCTCACACAGCTTAAAGGTCGTGATCTAAGCGTGGCTTCTTCCACTCCAGCGCTGTCCTCCAGACAGTCTCGTCCCTTCACCTGATGAAGGCCGCTTGTGTTGTGGCCGAAACGTCCGTGATTTTTTGTTGTTATTTTTTTTTTACCTACCTACGTGACTTTACCGAATAGAACCAAAGAGTTGTGGATCCTTGCAGTCACGAAAGCTTTCAAATCTAGAATCTCGTGATATTGTTGAAGGGACGAGACTGACAGACAGTCTTGTCCCTTCACCTGATGAAGGCCGCTTGTGTTGTGGCCGAAACGTCGTGAGAATTTTATCGCGTTTTTTATTTTATTTTATCAATTTATTATTTTATTCTCATTCTACGTGGTGGTGACTTTACCCAATAGAACCAAAGAGTATGTGCAGGCGAACTCGCGAGCGGGCCCCTCTCTGCCTGCCTGCCTGGTGCTGGTGGCTCAGGACGCCAAGACTCCCAAGGGGAGGGGCGATGGCGTACGATCAACGTGTGCATGTGCACTCACTGGGGGGGGGGGGGGGGGGGGGGAGGGGGGGGCTGAACGACGAATCGATTTCGAATCGATCAAATCGCGATTGGAAACGGTGCGTTGGGCAAATCGCAACAACGCCGGCGATTTTTCCGCGATTTGAAAAAGCCCTATTTGGGATCGTTTTAATTTTTGTTTTATCCGTTTATCATTATTCCAACTTCATTTCACTTGGCAATCGTTCTATGCTTCGATCGTTCTATTAAAAAATTAACACATTTTTTTTTTTATATATATATAAAGGCTCGTTTGGAAGCAAATTCATATCTTTCAATATCTCGTCCTTGTGTTAGGATCTTACGGAGCCGGTTATTGCGTCGATGGCACCACGCGGTCATGCTCCATCACGTGTTCTAAATCGACTGCACGGTCAATGATGAACTGAAGCTCGACTTTTTAAAAACAAAAAAAAACGTAACCGCAAATAGACAAATCGCGAAAAGTCTGTCAGACAAATCGCGATTTGATATTTTTTCCAATCTGAAGTTTTCCGTCAGCTAGGAAACAAAATAAAAAATAATTCTAATCGCCAAAGTTCCCATCGCGACGCAGGCGACCCTCGGAAAGGTGGGACGGACACGGCTGACGCGGGAGAGAAAGTCTGCGGGTGATACGGAAGGGATTTGCACGTCAACGCAAAAAAAACAAACCTCGGATTGCGAGTAACTTGGTATCTGCGAGTGGTTTTTCTTTTGCGAGACAAGCACGTGGCAACGCTCTCCGTACCGATGCCCAGCGTCACGTGATCACACCCGCGAGCGACGGACGGGCCGCTTCGGACTACAAACGCGTTTTTCCCCCGCAACGAACGGTGCCCGCGCAATCCCAAGGTTTGATTTAACGTCAAAATGTAATATCCTTAGTTTTTTCGGTAAAGTCACGTTGAAGGGAAACAACAAAATAATAAAAGATATATAAAACAATAAAAAAATTCTCACGACGTTTCGACCATAACTCACCTGAAGACGACCGTTTGAGTTATGGTCGAAACGTCGTGATAATTTTTTTAATTGTTTTATATATATTTTTTATTATTTTGTTGTTTCCCTTCAACGTGACTTTACCGAAAAAACTAAGAATATGAATTACTGCAGTCACGAAAGCTTAAAATCAAAAGTCAAAATGTAAATGTCAGAGATCAGCAGCATGACAATGTGTGGGAAGGGGGGGTGGACCCCCCCCCCCCCCCACCACCAGCTCACCGGATGAAAACATCACAGCAATAAAATAAAATAACACAATAATGTTCTCACAACGTTTCGGCCACAACACAAGCGCGGCCTTCACCTGATTGTGTTGTGGCCGAAACGTCGTGAGAACATTACTGCGTTACTTTATTTTATCAATTTATTATTTTATTCTCATTCTACGTGGGTGGCGACTTTAACCGAAAGAGCCAAAGAAGATGAATCCTCGCAGTCACGAAAGCTTTAAATCGAGACATCACAGCCAGTTAAGGCTTTACGGTCACTTCCAATGATTGCTCAGTCTGTATCCCATCTTCCCGGTTGAGGTTGCGTTATCCGTTTATATATCTCGATGGCTTCATGAACAAACCTTTGACAACAGTAGCCCGACAGAGGTTCTCTGCAAGCCGCCTGGCTACCGTGAGAGATTCGTTCACGAGGCCGTCCACACGTACAAACGCAGAGAGGCAATTTCAACCGAGAAGATGGCTTCTGGCTTAGCAATCATTGGAAGGGTTTGATCAACCATTTCGGGTCTTAATTGATTGTTCACGCTTACGGTGGCTTTCAGACCGCATCCATTATCTTCTTTGGTTCTTTCGGTAAAGTCACCACGTAGAATGAGAATAAAATAATAAATTGATAAAATAAAATAAACACAATAATATTCTCACGACGTTTCGGCCACAACACAAGCGGCCTTCATCAGGTGAAGGGACGAGACTGTCTGTCAGTTTCGTCCCTTCAACAAAATCACGAGATTCTAGATTTGAAGCTTTCGTGACTGCAAGGATCCACAACTCTTTGGTTCTATTCGGTAAAGTCACGTGGGTAGGTAAAAAAAATAACAACAAAAAATCACGGACGTTTCGGCCACAACACAAGCGGCCTTCGTCAGGTGAAAGGGGGCTGGGACTGTCCAGAGGACAGCGCTGGAGTGAAGACGGGCCAAGCCCCAGGTCGCGTCCTTTAAGCTGTGTGGTCGGAATCAAAAGAACGCCTTGACAAAAGGACACCATTTGACGCCAATTCCTTTTGTCAAGGCGTTTTTTTTTTCGTTTCTTCCCACACAGCTTAAAGGACGCGACCTGGGGCTTGGCCCGTCTTCACTCCAGCGCTGTCCTCTGGACAGTCCCAGCCCCCTTTCGCCTGACGAAGGCCGCTTGCGTTGTGGCCCAAACGTCCGTGATTTTTTCTTGTTATTTTTTTTTTTACCTACTTAAGCGACTTTACCGAACAGAACCAGTATCGCGAGAGGCCCCTAACAGCGTCCTTGCAGCAGCGGTCAAGGCGGGTGGAGTCCCCTCCTACCTTCCTCGTACTGCTCGCTCGCAATGTGAGCCTCGGCGCGGTCTCGGAGGGCGTTGACGTTGTCGGGGTCCCTGTCGAGCACGAGGCTGCACACTCGCACCGCATCCACCGTCCGCTCCTCGCTCTGCGGGGGGGGGCATGGAGAGGCGATGAGTGCGGGAGAGCTGTGGTGGCGGGGGTTGGGGGGGGGGGCGGGCGACAGCACCACGGTGGCTAGGAGATGTTGACTACCTCGCCCGGTATACAGGAGGTCGTGGGTTCGACCCTGACGCCTGCTGCTGCTGTATATTTGGAGTCTGCGCGTCTCTCTCTCATCATCATCATCACAGTGGCTAGATGTTGACTACCTCGCCCGGTATACAGGAGGTCGTGGGTTCAATCCTGACGCCTGCTGCTGCAACTGTATATTTGGAGTCTGCGCGTCTCTCTCTCATCATCATCATCATCACGGTGGCTATGAGATGTTGACTACCTCGCCCAGTGTGCAGGAGGTCGTGGGTTCGATCACGACCCTGACGATGCCTGCTGCTGCTGCTGCTGTGTATTTGGAGTCTGCGCGCCTCTCTCTCATCATCATCATCACAGTGGCTAGATGTTGACTACCTCGCCCGGTATACAGGAGGTCGTGGGTTCGACCCTGACGCCTGCTGCTGCTGCTGTATATTTGGAGTCTGCGCGTCTCTCTCTCATCATCATCATCATCACAGTGGCTAGGAGATGTTGACTACCTCGCCCGGCGTACAGGAGGTCGTGGGTTCGATCACGACCCTGATGATGCCTGCTGCTGCTGCTGCTGTATATTTGGAGTCTGCGCGTCTCTCTCTCATCATCATCATCACGGTGGCTAGGAGATGTTGACTACCTCGCCTGGTGTACAGGAGGTCGTGGGTTCCATCACGACCCTGACGACGCCTGCTGCTGCTGTATATTTGGAGTCTGCTTCTCTCTCATCATCATCATCATCACGGTGGCTAGGAGATGTTGACTACCTCGCCCGGTGTGCAGGAGGTCGCGGGTTCTATCACGACCCTGATGATGCCTGCTGCTGCTGTATATCTGGAGTCTGCGTCTCTCTCTCTCTCGCTCTGCACGTGGCGTTTGCGTGGATTTGTCCACCGGGGCACCCTCCCGTTATCCCCTCCACATTTCGACACGGCGTCACGCGATCAGCGGAGTATTTCGGCTGCTGCTATGAATTCCCACGTCGACGATGACGATGATGATGACGACGACGATGGCAAGCCGGCCAACTTGATTGAGCTGCTCTCATTTGCGGTTAGCCCAGGGTTAGCTTCTGAAAGAAGAGCTGCTGTATGGGCAGCTCAGCGGGGGGGGCATTATCCGCTCGCTGAAAACTACAAACACGCAAAAAAATTAAAAAATCTGTCGCACCTCCCCGGGTCAGAGACAACGTTCCGACACCGGGACCCCGGGACATCGCGACCAGTTCGAAGATTTCGATTCGAAGGCCTTTCGCGACCGCAGCGATTCATATTCTTGGTTCTTTCGGTAAAGCCCACCACCACGTAGGAGGGAAACAACAAAACAATAAAAAAAAATATATAAAACAATAACAAAAAAATTCTCACGACGTTCACGACTGCAACGCAAACAGCCGTCGTTCAGGTGTGAAAACCAGTCGAAACGTCGTGAGAATTTTATCGCTTTATTACGTGTTATAATTTTTTATTTATTTTTAAACAAAAATTATTTCCCTTCGACGTGACTTCGCCGACGCGTCACGCTGGACACAACGAACGGCCCCGACCCCCGACCCCCGACCCCCACCCCCCCCCGTGTGGGGTCTTGGCTGAAGACCGCCCCCGGCACGGCTTTGGGGAGGAAATCAAATCGCTCCGGCCGTGAGCTCCACGGGGAGCGAAGGGAGGAGGAGCCAGCGTGACCGGCCCGCCCACACCCGCTCCAGCTCCTGTGCGCGCCACCCGTTGCAGCCTTCGCAGCTGCCGCCGACTCTGGCAAACGGCACTTGCCCCCCCCCCCCCCCCCCCCCCCCCACGACGGTCTGCTCAAGGCTACACGGTGGGATCCTTGATCTTTGCCGCGCGTGGGGGAGCGGCAAAGAGTTCGATTCTCCCCCCCCCCCCCCCCCCCCCACCGGCTCACCGGCACCGCCAGCGACGATTATCCGACCCGGTGCTGGGCCTCCTCCCCCCGCTAGGCCGACTCTGCCTGAAAATGAGTATTTGGCGCGGCGTCGAAATTCATCGCCACCGCGGGGGAGACAAAGGCGGCCGGGCAGGTGTGGCGCTAGCCACCCGACAGTGCCGGTTAGCCTTCGTAGCCGCCGCCGCCGCCCGTAAAAATTCTCGCGACGTTTCGATTGCCAACGCGGGGGGGGGGGGGGGGGCAAATCCTCGTCGTCGGGTGGGAAAACCACGGCAAGGATTAAATTTAATGTTTTTTTTGGTCGTTTATTCGCGCATTCGTGAGAATTTTATCACGTCCCCGAGTTTTAATCGATCGCTTCATCGTCTCCCTTCCAACGTGGCGGCGGCTCTGCCGAAAGAGCCGACAGGACGAATTTCCCCTCGCAGTATACGCGGAAGCTTTGAATCGGAAAAAGTTTCAAAAGCAACGAGAGCCTGTTCAAGGCCACGCTGGGGAGGTTGTTTGGTGGTGGTGGTGGTGGGGGGGTGGGTGGGTGTGGGGGGTTGGGGGAGACCTTGGCTTGCGGTACCTTAGAGAGGCAATGGCAGATACGCTCGTCGGCACGCGCTCCGTACACGGCCACCGAGGCCTCGGTACTCTTCACCGCCTCCAGCTTGGCCACCGCCTCCTCGTACCTGCGGCACACGGAGGAGGAGGAGGAGGAGGAGGAGGGAGGAGGAGGAGGAGGAGGGAGGAGGAGGGAGGAGGAGGAGGGAGGAGGAGGAGGAGGAGGAGGACGACGAGGAGGAGGAGGAGGAGGAAGAGGAGGCGGCGGCAAAGGAGGAGGAGCGGAAGAGGAGGAGGAGGAGGAGGACGAGGAGGAGGAGGAGGAGGAGGCACCGCCACCGCCACGGTTGCAGGCATCAAAACGGACCGCGGAGGGGGCAGGCGCTGCGTGGGGGTGGAGGGGGCGGCCGGGCCTGCGAAAGGCGGCGAGGGCGGGCGGGCGGGCGACGCCAATCTGGACGACGACGACGACGACGACGACAACAACAACGACGACGACGACGACGACGACGACGACGACGACGACGAGGATGACGACGATGAGGAATTTAAAAGCGGCGTCACGGCTCCCCCGTGGGGACCGAATAACGGAAGGAGGAGAGAGAGCGCTCCAGACGGCCGCGGGAGCAGCGTTTCTGAAAGCGCGCGATGCTGTGGCAGGCTGTGGCAGGTTGTGGCAGGGTAGGGCAGGTTGTGGCAGGGTAGGGCAGGTTGTGGCAGGGTAGGGCAGGTTGTGGCAGGGTAGGGCAGGTTGTGGCAGGCTGTGGCAGGGTAGGGCAGGTTGTGGCAGGCTGTGGCAGGGTAGGGCAGGTTGTGGCAGGCTGTGGCAGGGTAGGGCAGGTTGTGGCAGGCTAGGGCAAGCTGTGGCAGGGTAGGGCAGGCTAGGGCAGGCTGTGGCAGGCTGTGGCAGGCTAGGGCAAGCTGTGGCAGGGTAGGGCAGGCTAGGGCAGGCTGTGGCAGGCTGTGGCAGGCTGTGGCAGGCTGTGGCAGGCTAGGGCAGGCTGTGGCAGGCTGTGGCAGGCTAGGGCAGGCTGTGGCAGGCTGTGGCAGGTTGTGGCAGGGTAGGGCAGGCTGTGGCAGGCTGTGGCAGGCTGTGGCAGGCTGTGGCAGGCTGTGGCAAGCTGTGGCAGGCTGTGGCAGGCTGTGGCAGGCTGTGGCAGGCAGTGGCAGGCTGTGGCAGGCAGTGGCAGGCTGTGGCAGGCTGTGGCAGGCTGTGGCAGGCTGTGGCAGGTTGTGGCAGGGTAGGGCAGGCTGTGGCAGGCTGTGGCAGGCTGTGGCAGGCTGTGGCAGGGTAGGGCAGGCTGTGGCAGGCTGTGGCAGGCTGTGGCAGGCTACGTCAGTCTGTGACAGTCTCTGACAGTCTCTGGCGAGGCCGTGGCGAGGCCGTGGCGGAGTGGGGGTGGGGGGCGGGGGGGGGGGGTGGGTGCGTTTGGCCCAACCTGGATTCAGCGATGAGGCTCTCGGCCGCCTCGAGCTGCCGACACAGCTTCTTCACCTTGCGGTAGTGGGCGAAGCACTCCTGGTGGTCCGGGTCGAGCTTCAGGCACTCGCGGATCTCCCTGGGGGGGGGGGGGTCACGTGAGGGTCACGGGTTAGGAGTGGGAGGGGGGTTGGTGGGTGCATGGTGGGGGGGTGGGTGGTAGGGGGGTGAGCGACTTAGCGAGTGAACGACTGAGCGAGTGAGCAAGCGAGTGACCGAGCTAGCGAGTTAGCGACTGAGCGAGTTAGTGACTGAGCGAGTGACTTAGCGAGTGAGTGACTTAGCGAGTGAGTGACTTAGCGAGTGAGTGACTTAGCGAGTGAGTGACTTAGCGAGTGAGTGACTGAGCGAGTGAGCGACTGAGCAAGCGAGTGAACGACTGAGCGAGTGACCGAGCTAGCGAGTTAGCGACTGAGCGAGTTAGTGACTGAGCGAGTGACTTAGCGAGTGAGTGACTTAGCGAGTGAGTGACTGAGCGAGTGAGCGACTGAGCAAGCGAGTGAACAAGCGAGTGACCGAGCTAGCGAGTTAGTGACTGAGCGAGTGACTTAGCGAGTGAGTGACTTAGCGAGTGAGTGACTTAGCGAGTGAGTGACCGAGCGAGTTAGCGACTGAGCGAGTGAGCGAGTGAGCAAGCGAGTGAGTGACTTGGCGAGTGAGTGACTTAGCGAGTTAGCGACTGAGCGAGTTAGCGACTGAGCGAGTTAGTGACTGAGCGAGTGAGCGAGTGAGCAAGCGAGTGAGTGACTTAGCGAGTGAGTGACTTAGCGAGTTAGCGACTGAGCGAGTTAGCGACTTAGCGAGGGAGCGACCGAGCGACCGACCGAGCGAGCGACCAATGAGATTTTCTGCTGGGGCGACCGGGCGAGCGGGCGAGCGGGCGAGCGAGCGAGCGGGCGAGCGAGCGGGCGGGCGACTCACGCTAGCGAGTCGTCCTGCTCGCCCAGGCTGTAGTGCAGGCGGCTGATGCGCAGGTGAGCGGCTGTGTTGTCGTTGCGAAGCTTCGTGGTCGGCTTCAGGTCCTGGATCGCCTTCCCAAGGCTGCCCAGCCGCTCGTGGCAATCGGCGCGGAGCTCCCGCACGTCCGAGTCCCACGGGCAGGACTACGCACGCACGCACACAAAGATCAAAGACAAAGATCCCCCGTATAGCCTTAACAGACTGTAGGGGCAAGTGCTGTTAGCGAGCACCTATGAAGGCCGGAACGGTACATGAGGGGGTGGGTGGCCAGCACCACGCCCGACCGCCTTTGTCTCCCTAGTGGCAATGTTTACACACTGCACCAGGTACTCATTTGAGGCTGAGTCGACCTAGGGGAGGCCCGGGACCGGTTCAGATAATCGTCACTGGTGTTGGCCGTGAGGGGGAATCGAACCCGGGTCGCCAGCTTCATAGCGCAGCGCGCTAACCGCTACACTATCGCTCCCCACTACGCACGCACGCACACACGCACACACGCACACACACACACACACGCACACACACACACACACGCACGAAGACCCCACCCGTGTGGCGCTAACGGACTGCAGGGGGCAAGTGCTGCGGAGTAGCGAGCAGCGCCCTACGAAGGCTACCGTGGCACACGAGGAAAAGACAAAGATCCCCCGTGTAGCCTGCAACAGACTGTAGGGGGGCCAAGTGCTGTTAGCTAGCACACACAAAGACAAAGATCCCCCGTGTAGCCTGCAACAGACTGTAGGGGGGCAAGTGCTGTTAGCTAGCACACACAAAGACAAAGATCCCCCGTGTAGCCTGCAACAGACTGTAGGGGGGGCAAGTGCTGTTAGCTAGCACACACAAAGACAAAGATCCCCCGTGTAGCCTGCAACAGACTGTAGGGGGGCCAAGTGCTGTTAGCGAGCACCTGTGAAGGCTGGGTGGCCAGCAAACCGCGCCCGACCGCCTTTGTCTCCCCCAGTGGCTGATGTTTAACTGCACACCGCGCCCAGGCACTCACTTGAGGCCGAGGCGACCTAGGGGAGGCCCGGGACCGGGCGGATGAGTGGGCGGGTGGGTGCGTGAGTGGGCAAGTCGGTGAGTGGGTGGGTGAGTGGGAGGGTGGGTGGCTGTGTGAGTGGGTGAGTGGGTAGGTGAGCGAGTGAGTGGGTGGGTAGGTGAGTGGGTAGGTGGGTGGGTGGGTAGGTGAGTGGGTAGGTGAGCGGGTAGGTGAGCGAGTGAGTGGGTGGGTAGGTGAGTGGACGAGTGGGTGGACGAGTGGGTGGGCGGGTGAGTGGCTGTGTGAGTGCATGAGTCAGTGAGTGGGTGGGTAGGTGAGCGAATGAGTGGGTGGGTAGGTGAGTGGGTGAGCGAGTGGGTGGCTGTGTCAGTGGGTAGGTGAGTGGGCGGATAGGTGAGTGGGCGGGTAGGTGAGCGAGTGGGTGGGCGGGTGAGTGGGTGGCTGTGTGAGTGGGTGAGTGGGTGGGTAGGTGAGTGGGTGGGTAGGTGAGTGGGTGAGTAGGTGAGCAAGTGGGGGGGGCGAGTGGGTGGGCGGGTAGGTGGCTGTGTGAGTGGGTGGGTGGGTAGGTGAGTGGGTAGGTGGGTGGATAGGTGAGCGGGTAGGTGAGCGTGTAGGTGAGCAAGTGAGTGGGTGGGTGAGTGGACGAGTGGGTGGGCGAGTGGTTGGGCGAGTGGGTGAGCGGGTAGGTGGCTGTGTGAGTGGGTGGGTAGGCGAGTGGGTAGGTGGGTGGGTAGGTGAGCGGGTAGGTGAGCGAGTGAGTGGGTAGGTGAGTGGACGAGTGGGTGAGCGAGTGGGTGGGTGGCTGTGTGCATGGGTGAATGGGTAGGTGAGTGGGTGGGTAGGTGAGCAAGTGAGTGCGTGGGTAGGTGATCGAGTGGGTGGGCGAGTGGGTGGGCGGGTGGGTGGCTGTGTGAGTGGGTAGGTGAGTGGGTGGGTAGGTGAGTGGGCGGGTGGGCGGGTGAGCGAGTGAGCTCAGATTTTTGCTGACCAGGCGTACAGGACTCGCCGTTTTAACCGGGGGACAAGACCATCGACAGCCGGTCAGAGGCTACACGGGGGACCTTTGCCTTTGGCTGCACGCGCGCGCGGGTTCACGCTGTGTCAGCCGCAGGTGCTGGGAGGAGATCTTGATGGACGTGCGCACGTGCCCGCAAAAGGGGGAAGTTCACGACTATAAATAAGACTCGTTGGGGTTGGGGTGGGGTGGGGGGTGTGGGGAGAATAACAATTTAATTCCGTCTACATTTGGTTGTGTCAATGACTTTGGTCAACAACAATAATTATTATTATTAAAGTTGGAAGGGTTTTTTTTAGTGGCAGCCTCCTCTCGTGCTGCTGCCACGTGGGGCCCGTCCCAAAAATTGCGGGCACCGAAACGAGGTCACCGCTCGCGACGACGTCGTCATCGTCGTCGTCATCGTCGTCGTCATCGTCGTCGTCATCGCCGTGCGACGATGACGACGACGACGTCGTCACCACCGTGCGACGATGGCGACGTCGTCATCATCGTCGTCACCACCGTGCGACGATGACGACGATGATGACGTCGTCATCATCATCGTCGTCATCATCGTCGTCACCACCGTGCGACGATGACAATGACGTCGTCATCGTCGTCACCACCGTGCGACGATGACGTCGTCATCGTCGTCACCACCGTGCGAAGATGACGACGACATCGTCGTCGTCACCACCGTGCGACGATGACGTCATCGTCGTCACCACCGTGCGACGATGACAATGACGTCGTCACCACCGTGCGACGATGACGACGTCGTCGTCACCGCCGTGCGACGATGACAATGACGACGTCATTGTCACCGCCGTGCGACGATGACAATGACGTCGTCGACGTCATCACCACCTTGGCCGACAACAAGGCTCAGGATCCCTTCCGGCGACGGTTTTCACCCTCCGGGTTTTTGGATAGAAACGAGGGGAGGGTCTCAACGACGATGACGGAGAACAACAACAAAAACACAACAACAAAACAACACAACAAAACAACAAAACAAAACAACACAACAAAACAACAACAACAACAACACAACAAAACAACAACAACAACAACACAACAAAACAACAACAACAACAACAACACAACAAAACAAAACAACAACACAACAAAACAAACAACAAAACAACACAACAACACAACACAACAAACAACAAAACAACACCAAAACACAACAAACAACAAAACAACACCAAAACACAACAAAACAACAACAACAACACAACAAAACACAACAAAACAACAACACACAACAAAACAACAACACACAACAAAACAACAAAACACAACAAAACAACAAAACACAACAAAACAACAACAACACAACAAAACAACACAACAAAACAACAAAACACAACAAAACAACAACAACAACACAACAAAACAACACAACAAAACAACAAAACACAACAAAACAACAACAACAACACAACAAAACAACACAACAAAACACAACAAAACACAACAAAACACAACAAAACACAACAAAACACAACAACAACACAACAAAACACAACAAAACACAACAAAACACAACAAAACACAACAAAACACAACAACAACACAACAAAACAACACAACAAAACAACAACACAACAAAACCACAACAAAACAACAACAACACAACAACAACAAAACACAACAAAACAACAACACAACAACAAAACACAACAACACAACAAAACACAACCACGACACAACAAAACAACAACAACACAACAAAACAACAACAACACAACAAAACAACACAACAAAACAAACAACAAAACAACACAACAAAACAAACAACAAAACAACAACACAACAAAACAACAACAAAACACAACAAAACACAACAAAACACAACAAAACAACAAAACAACAACAAAACACAACAAAACAACAACAAAACACAACAAAACAACAACCACGTCACAACAAAACAACAACACGACACAACAAAACAACAACAACACGACACAACAAAACAACAACAACACAACAAAACAACAACAACACAACAAAACAACAACAACACAACAAAACAACAAAACAACAACCACACGAAACAACAAAACAACAAAACAACAACAACACAACAACAAAAAAACAAGACAACACAACAACAAAAAAACAAGACAACAAAACAACAAAAAAACAAGACAACAAAACAACAAAACAACAACAACACAACAACAAAACAACAAGACAACAACACAACAACAAAACAACAACAAAACAACACAACAACAAAACAACAACAAAACAACACAACAACAAAACAACACAACAACAAAACAACAACAAAACAACACAACAAAACAACACCAACAACACAACAACAACAACAACAACACAACAAAAAAACAAAACAACAACACAACAAAACAACAACAAAACAAAACAACAAAACACCACAACAACAACACAACAACAACAACAAAACAACAACAAAACAAAACAACAAAACAACACAACAACAACAACAACAAAACAAAAACAAAACAAAACAAAAAAAAAACAACAAAACAACACAACAACAAAAACAAAACAAACAAAACAAAAAAAAAAATCAAACACAACAAAAACACAACAAACCAAAAAAAAAACACAACAAAAACAAAACAACACAACAAAAACAAAACAACAACAACAAAAAACAAAAAAAACAAAACAACAACAACACAAAACAACAAAAACAAAACAACAACAACAAAACAAAACAACAACAACAAAACAACAAAAACAAAACAACAACAACAAAACAAAACAACAACAAAACAACAACAACACCACAACAAAACAAAACAACAACAAAACAACAACAAAACAAAACAACAACACAACAACAAAACAACACAACAAAACAACAACACAACAACACAACAAAACAACAACACAACAAAACAACAACACAACAAAACAACAACACAACAAAACAACAACACAACAATACAACAAAACAACAAAACAACAACCACGAAACAACAACACAACAAAACAACAACCACGAAACAACAAAACAACAACCACGAAACAACAAAACAACAACACAACAAAACAACAAAACAACAACACAACAAAACAACAACCACGAAACAACAAAACAACAACACGAAACAACAAAACAACAACAACACGAAACAACAACACAACAACAACAACAAAACAACACAACAACAACAAAACAACACCAAAACAACAACAACAAAACAAAACAACAACAACAAAACAACAACACACCAAAACAACAACAAAAAACAAGAACAACAAGCAGCGTCGGCGACCCACGTCGACGATCTTGTCGAGGAAGGAGACTGCCCCCTGGTGGTCTCCCCACTCGTGCAGCGACCTCGCCTCCTCCCACATGCGCTGCAGCTCCAGCGCCCGCGACATCTGTGCCGCCGCCTCCTCGTCTCCCGGGTGGCTCGCCAGCTGGTGGTGGTGGTGGGGGGGCGGAGAGAAGCGCACGCTGGCACGCTGGCACGCACGCTAACACACGCTGGCACGCTGACACGCTGGCACGCTGGCACGCTGGCACAGACGCTGGCACAGACGCTGGCATGGACACTGGCACGGACGCTGACACACGCTGGGCATGGACGCTGGTACGGACGCTGGCATGGACGCTGGCATGGACGCTGACACACACACTGGCATGGACGCTGACACACACACTGGCATGGACGCTGACACACACACTGGCATGGACGCTGACATGGATGCTGACACACACACTGGCATGGACGCTGGCATGGACGCTGACACACACACTGGCATGGACGCTGACACACACACTGGCATGGACGCTGACATGGACGCTGACACACACACTGGCATGGACGCTGGCATGGACGCTGACACACACACTGGCATGGACGCTGACACACACACTGGCATGGACGCTGACATGGACGCTGACACACACACTGGCATGGACGCTGACACACACACTGGCATGGACGCTGACATGGACGCTGACACACACGCTGGCGTGGACGCTGACACACACACTGGCATGGACGCTGACACACACACTGGCATGGACGCTGACATGGACGCTGACACACACACTGGCATGGACGCTGGCATGGACGCTGACGCACACACTGGCATGGACGCTGACACACACACTGGCATGGACGCTGACATGGACGCTGACACACACACTGGCATGGACGCTGACATGGACGCTGACACACACACTGGCACGGACGCTGGCGTGGACGCTGACACACACACTGGCATGGACGCTGGCATGGACGCTGTCACACACACTGGCATGGACGCTGACACACACACTGGCATGGACGCTGACATGGACGCTGACACACACACTGGCATGGACGCTGACACACACACTGGCATGGACGCTGACACACACACTGGCATGGACGCTGACACACACACTGGCATGGACGCTGACATGGACGCTGACACACACACTGGCATGGACGCTGACACACACACTGGCATGGACGCTGACACACACACTGGCATGGACGCTGATACACACACTGGCATGGACGCTGGCATGGACGCTGACACACACACTGGCATGGACGCTGACACACACACTGGCATGGACGCTGACACACACACTGGTACGGACGCTGGCATGGACGCTGACACACACTGGCATGGACGCTGACACACACACTGGCATGGACGCTGACACACACTGACACACACACTGGCATGGACGCTGACACACACTGACACACACACTGGCATGGACGCTGACACACACTGACACACACACTGGCATGGACGCTGACACACACTGACACACACACTGGCATGGACGCTGGCACGGACGCTGGCACGGACGCTGACGCCGACGGACACGCACGCTGGCGCGCACGCCGATGCGGACGCTGGCGCGGACGCTGGTGCACGCGTTGCCGGTGCCGGGCACTGCCGCGCCTTCGACCCGCGCCGACCCGCTGCCATCCGCAGGATGCGCACGGCACCTCCGCCCGTCGACCAGTTGCCGTTGACCGAGGGCGAGGGGGAGGGTGGGTTTTGGTGCGGCGTGGTGGGGCTGGCTACTCACCACGGCGAGGAAGTCCTGCTGCGCCTCCTCGAGTTTCCCCTGCTTCAGGAAGACGTTGCCTCTCTGCAGCTGCGCCTGTGGGACCCCCACGTGAAGAAGAAGAAGAAGAATGAGAAGCGGAAGAGGAAGCAGAAGCAGAAGAAGATGTGGCAGAAGACGAAAATAGCGGTTGTTGTTGTGCGTGCGTGCGTACACGTGGACACGTGCGTGTGCGTGTGTACGCGTACACGTGGACACGTGTGTGTGTGCGTACACGTGGACACGTGTGTGTGTGTGCGTACACGTGGACACGTGTGTGTGTGTGCGTACACGTGGACACGTGCGTGTGTACACGTGGACACGTGTGTGTGCGTACACGTGGACACGTGCGTGTGCGTGTGTACGCGTACACGTGGACACGTGCATGTGCGTACACGTACACACGTGGACACGTGTGTACTACACGTGTGTGTGCGTACGTGCGCGTGCGTGTGTGCAAGTCTCACGGCCGTGAAGTCTGGCTTGAGCTCGATGACGCGGGAGAGGTCCGGCAGGGCGGCCTTCGACCGCCCCATGGCCAGGTAGACGGTCGCCCGCTTGTAGTAGGTCAAGTAGCTGCCCGGGTCGCCCTCTAACAACGACAACAACAACGACAACAACAACAACAACGACGACAGCCAATCAGCAAGGGGTTGGGTGGCACGCGGACACAAAAAATAAAAACCACGCGGCCAAATCCGTTACGGGTGTACGGCCGCACCAGGCCGGTTGTTCGGTGCTGCAGAGCTAAGCCCCGACGGCGACATTTCGCGAATTGGGAATAGCTGGGGGGACGTTTTGTTGCCGGTAACGACAACAGCAGCCGACACACAATCAAACAACCACGACAACAACCATCAGAGCAACGACAACAACAACCACCACCACCACCACAACAACAACAACGTTTGCACGTTCGCCACAAGTACCGCGGAGAGGTTAAAGCAGCCGCAGCCGCCGCCGCCTGATCCCTTGCAAAAGCTACATTCTATTTGGTGTTTAAACAGCTTTCATTGCCAGGGATTAAACATCTACTTAGATTTCTCATGCAGCAAAACCCTTGGGATCGCGAGCACAATTCGTTCCGGAAAGAAAAAAAACGTGTTTGCCAATCCAAAGCGCTCGCATATCAAAGCGCTCGGATATCAAAGCGCTCGTATATCAAAGCGCTCGTATATCAAAGCGCTCGCATATATCGGTTGTGCGGTCACGTGCCGCTGGGAAGACCGAGCGTGTACACGTAGTACCGCTGCGCGTATTGCAAGACCCTGGCTCGTTCATCAAATTAATATTTACTTACATGTTTTTGCTCGTCTTGCACAAACATTCGCAGAGACCAAGTTACACGCAAACCCAAGGTTTTGCTGTACTTTTGATACCGGCAAAAAAAGGAATCCCAATGACATCGTCCGCTGCTCACCCCGAGATAGAAATATCCATCGACTTCTCCAAGACGGAGGTTCTTTGCGAGCCATCGGGCTACCATGAGAGATTCGTCCATGAGGCCACCCACATATACAAGCACAGAGGCAATTTCCACCGAGAAGATGGATTCTGGCTTAGCAATCATTGGAAGGATTTGATAAACCATTTCGGGTCTTAATTGATTGTTCACGCTTACGGTGGCTTTCAGACCGCATACATTAATTTTTCGTCTCCCCCCCTCCTCTTTTCCGAACATAGATGGACTCGTCCATCTAAACAAACTGTTAAATCGCTCTCCGTGGTGCTAACGTTTAAAAATAAATAAATACAAACCGCCACTTCTTTCAAATGTTTCTTGACGTTGGTTTTCACACCTGATGATGACTGTTTGTGTTACGGTCGAAACGTCGTGAGAATTTTTATTGTTTTATATTTATTTGATTATTTTATTGTTTCCCTTCAACGTGCCTTCACCGAAAGAACCAACAATACAGTGGGCATTGCCCTTGTGCCGTTTCACCTGTTTGAGTTCTCCGGTCTGACACTGGTGGTGAGACCAGGCCGTGAAGAAAGCCGATGTCTCTGGTGTAGGCCAATCAGTGTTGAAGACAATGCATCATCTGTTATTATTATTATCATCATAATCATCAGAGCCACGTGTGCTTGCATGTTCACCACAAGCGCTGTGTGTGGTTAACGCAGTTACTTGCTTCCTTGCAAAAGGTTTAATTTATTTGTTGTTTCAACATGTTAACACGTCGACTATTTATTCATTCATTGCCGGAGAGGGTAAAACACACCCATTCTTTCGGAATTTAATACTGGCAAAAAAGGGTCAAATTTTCCGCGCTGTCTCTTACACCTGGTGAAATAAAAAATATATTTTTGGTTCTTTCGGTAAAGTCACCACGTAGAAGGGGGAACAAAATAATAAAAATAAAAAACAATAAAATTATCACGACGTTATATTTTTATTATTTTATTGTTTCCCTTCTACGTGGTGGTGACTTTACCGAAAGAACCAAGAATATGAATCCCTGCAGTCACGAAAGCTTTAAATAAAAAAATAAAAATTAGTTATAATTTACATTACCCATCCCCCCCCCCACTCGAGATCGTATCTACAACACTTTCTTTCCACATTCTCTTTTAGACTTCTCCATTTCTTATCCTGCCTTGCCACGCACAACAACAACAACCGCCGTTCGATACTAAGTGGCGGTGACGTCACCACGGCGGCCGTGCCAGGCTAGGTGCACCTTGAGGCTACCACGTCAAGCGTCGAATGCCCGCTGGCAGGAGGTCACGGGGCAGACCCAGCAGGTGCCACGGGTCGACTGACTGAGATGACTGGCTGATGCACCACCTGTGCCCCCAACTGCGCCAACTTGCTGTGCTTTAGCCACCCGGCACTCCGCTCGTTGTTGTGAGCGTCGCTCCTCCGCCCTCCGTTGTTGTTGGAGGGCGACTGCCTCCAACTGCCCAGTAGCGTCCCTCACGAGCCTCCTCCATAAAGGCCGATCTTGACACCGCTGGTACCAGTCATCGGCAAGTCCACTCAGCTCCACGTCCTCCTGTACCACATCACTCCATCTCTTCTCTAGCCCGTGCCGCGCCCGTTTAGCCCCCTCGATCCGGCCCGAACAAAAGCTGTTTCGGCATGCGGTGGTTGGGCATGCGGGCTACATGACCCAGCCAACGCAGCCTTGCCTGCCGGAGGAGCTCACCGATGGAACTTTGCCCAGATCTTTCAAGGATTTGTGAGCTCCTCACACAATCCAGCCTGATTAAACCCAGGATGGATCGTAGGCAGGCCAGCCTAAATGTTTCTCACCGGCGAAGATGTTCCATTAGGGGGGGGTCCACATTTCGCAAGCGTAGAGAAGGGAGGGAATGACCATGGCCGAAAAGACCTGAAGCTTAGTGTGGAGCGACAGACCAGGTAGCTTCCACACAGCGTTACGCAACCGATGAAAAGAGAATGCCGCTCGACTGATTTGGAGTGAGACCTCTGCTGTCAAACCGGAGCCGGTCATAAGCACACTGCCCAGGTATGGGAAACTCTCCACTCTCTCCACACACACTCACTGGCCCACACACACACACACTCACTGGCCCACACACACACACTCACTGGCCCACACACACACACACTCACTGGCCCACACACACACACACACACTCACTGGCCCACACACACACACACTCACTGGCCCACACACACACACACTCACTGGCCCACACACACACACACTCACTGGCCCACACACACACACACTCACTGGCCCACACACACACACACACTCACTCACTGGCCCACACACACACACACACTCACTCACTGGCCCACACACACACACACACTCACTGGCCCACACACACACACACACTCACTCACTGGCCCACACACACACACACACTCACTCACTGGCCCACACACACACACACTCACTCACTGGCCCACACACACACACACTCACTCACTGGCCCACACACACACACACTCACTCACTGGCCCACACACACACACACTCACTCACTGGCCCACACACACACTCACTGGCCCACACACACACACACTCACTGGCCCACACACACACACACTCACTGGCCCACACACACACACTCACTGGCCCACACACACACACTCACTGGCCCACACACACACACACTCACTGGCCCACTCACACACACAAAATCACTGGCCCACACTCACACACTCACTGGCACACACTCACTGGCCCACACTCACACACTCACTGGCACACACTCACTGGCCCACTCACTGGCACACACACACTGGCCCACTCACACACACTCACTGGCCCACTCACTGGCACACACACACACTCACTGGCCCACTTACTGGTACACACTCACTCACTGGCCCACACACACACACACTCACTCACTGGCACACACACACTGGCCCACTCACACACACTCACTGGCCCACTCACTGGCACACACACACACACTCACTCACTGGCCCACACGCACACACTCACTCACTGGCCCACACGCACACACACACTCACTGGCCCACTCGCACACACACACTCACTGGCCCACTCGCACACACACACTCACTGGCCCACTCGCACACACTCACTCACTGGCCCACACGCACACACACACTCACTGGCCCACTCACACACACACACTCACTGGCCCACTCACACACACACACTCACTGGCCCACTCACACACTCACTCACACACACACACACTGGCCCACACACACACACTCACTGGCCCACACACACACACACTCACTGGCCCACACACACTCACACACACTCACTGGCCCACTCACACACACACTCACTGGCCCACTCACACACACTCACACACACACACTGGCCCACACACACACACTCACACACACACACACTCACTGGCCCACACACTGGCCCACACACACACTCACTGGCCCACACACTGGCCCACACACACACACTCACTGGCCCACACACACACACTCACTAGCCCACACACACACTCACACACACTCACTGGCCCACTCGCACACACTCACTCACTGGCCCACTCACACACACTCACTGGCCCACTCACACACACTCACTCACTGGCCCACACACACACTCACTGGCCCACTCACACACTCACTGGCCCACTCACACACACTCACTGGCCCACTCACACACACTCACTGGCCCACTCACACACACTCACTGGCCCACTCACACACTCTCACTGGCCCACACACACACACTCACTCACTGGCCCACACACACACTCACACTCACTGGCCCACACACACAGAATATGGCCCACACACACAGAATATGGCCCACACACACAATCACTGGCCAACACTCACACACTCACTGGCCCACTCACTGGCACACACACACACTCACTGGCCCACTCACTGGCACACACACACACACACTCACTGGCCCACACACACACACTCACTGGCCCACACACACACACTCACTGGCCCACACACTCACTCACACTCACTGGCCCACACACACTCACTGGCCCACACACACACTCACTGGCCCACACACACACTCACTGGCCCACACACACACTCACTGGCCCACACACACACACACACTCACTGGCCCACACACACTCTCACACACACACACACTGGCCCACTCACGTGCTCCCTCACCCACCCACGCGCGTCACAAAGTCGGAAGAACCGGGAGTGCATTGCCCATTGACCGAAGAGCCCGACGAGCTAAGTAGCTCGTTGTCAAGGGCGACTCGTCCTGTGGAGACGACGCAGACGACGACGCAGACGACAACAACAACAACAACGACGCAGACGACAACAACGACAACAACGACAACAACAACAACAACGACAACAACAACGAGGTGGCGTCTGTGAGAGTGACGGAGCTCACCCACGGCGGCGTGGTAGTGCGACAGGGCGTCTGTGAGCTGCCCAGCCGACAGCGACAACAACAACAACACAGACAACAACAACAACACAGACAACAACAACACAGACAACAACAACAACAACACAGACAACAACACAGACAACAACAACAACGACAAAGACAACAACAACGAGGTGGCGTCTGTGAGAGTGACGGAGCTCACCCACGGCGGCGTGGTAGTGCGACAGGGCGTCTGTGAGCTGCCCAGCCGCCAGCGACAACGACACAGACAACAACAACAACAACGACAACAACAACGACAACGACGACAACGACACAGACAACAACAACAACGACACAAACAACAACAACAACAACAACGACAACGACACAGACAACAACAACAACAACAACGACACAGACAACAACAACAACGACAACAACAACGACAACAACAACGACAACGACACAGACAACAACAACAACGACAACAACGACAACAACAACGACACAGACAACAACAACGACAACAACGACAACAACAACAACGACACAGACAACAACAACAACGACGACGAGGTGACGTCTGTGAGAGTGACGGAGCTCACCCACGGCGGCGTGGTAGTGCGACAGGGCGTCTGCGAGCTGGCCAGCCGCCAGCGACAACAACAACAAGAACAACAACAACGACACAGACAACAACAACAACAATGCGGTGACGTCTGCGAGAGTGACGGAGCTCACCCACGGCGGCGTGGTAGTGCGACAGGGCGTCTGTGAGCTGCCCAGCCGCCAGCGACACAGACAACAACACAGACAACAACAACAACAACACAGACAACAACAACAACAACAATGCGGTGACGTCTGCGAGAGTGACGGAGCTCACCCACGGCGGCGTGGTAGTGCGACAGGGCGTCTGTGAGCTGCCCAGCCGCCAGCGACAACGACACAGACAACAACAACAACGACAACAACAACGACAACGACGACAACGACACAGACAACAACAACAACAACGACACAGACAACAACAACGACAACAACGACAACGACACAGACAACAACAACAACGACAACAACAACAACGACACAGACAACAACAACGACAACGACACAGACAACAACAACAACGACAACAACAACGACACAGACAACAACAACAACGACAACAACAACGACAACGACGACAACGACACAGACAACAACAACAACAACGACACAGACAACAACAACAACGACAACAACGACAACGACACAGACAACAACAACAACGACAACAACGACACAGACAACAACAACAACGACAACGACACAGACAACAACAACAACGACAACAACAACGACACAGACAACAACAACGACAACAACAACGACAACAACGACACAGACAACAACGACAACAACGACAACAACAACGACAACAACAACAACAACAACAATGACAACAACAACGAGGTGGCGTCTGTGAGAGTGACGGAGCTCACCCACGGCGGCATGGTAGTGCGACAGGGCGTCTGTGAGCTGCCCAGCCGCCAGCGACAACAACAACAACACAGACAACAACAACAACAACGACAACAACAACGACAACAACAACAACGACAACAACACAGACAACAACAACAGACAACAACAACGACAACAACAACAGACAACGACAACAACACAGACAACAACAACAACGACAACAACAACACAGACAACAACAACACAGACAACAACGACAACAACGACAACAACAACGACAACAACGACAACAACAACGACAACAACAACGAGGTGACGTCTGCGAGAGTGACGGAGCTCACCCACGGCGGCGTGGTAGTGCGACAGGGCGTCTGCGAGCTGCCCAGCCACCAGCGACAACAACAACGACACAGACAACAACAACAACAACACAGACAACAACAACAACAACAACACAGACAACAACAACAACGACAACAACAATGCGGTGACGTCTGCGAGAGTGACGGAGCTCACCCACGGCGGCGTGGTAGTGCGACAGGGCGTCTGTGAGCTGCCCAGCCGCCAGCGACAACAACAACGACACAGACAACAACAACAACAACGACAACAACAACAACACAGACAACAACAACACAGACAACAACAACGACAACAACGACAACAACAACAACGACAACAACACAGACAACAACAACAACGACAACGACACAGACAACAACAACAACAACAACAACGACAACAACACAGACAACAACAACAACGATGACACAGACAACAACAACGACAACAACAACAACAACGACGACAACAACAACGAGGTGACGTCTGCGAGAGTGACGGAGCTCACCCACGGCGGCGTGGTAGTGCGACAGGGCGTCTGCGAGCTGCCCAGCCACCAGCGACAACAACAACAACACAGACAACAACAACACAGACAACAACAACAAGAACAACAACAACAATGAGGTGACGTCTGTGAGAGTGACGGAGCTCACCCACGGCGGCGTGGTAGTGCGACAGGGCGTCTGTGAGCTGCCCAGCCGACAACGACACAGACAACAACACAGACGACAACAACAACAACACAGACAACAACAACAACAACACAGACAACAACAACAACAACAACAACGAGGTGACGTCTGTGAGAGTGACGGAGCTCACCCACGGCGGCGTGGTAGTGCGACAGGGCGTCTGCGAGCTGGCCAGCCGACAGCGACAACAACAACAACACAGACGACAACAACGACAACAACGACAACAACGACAAAGACAACAACAACGAGGTGACGTCTGCGAGAGTGACGGAGCTCACCCACGGCGGCATGGTAGTGCGACAGGGCGTCTGCGAGCTGGCCAGCCGCCAGCAACTTCTTGCCCATCTCCAGGTGCTTGTCCACCTCCGTGTTGGCACCGCACGCACCTGCACACGCGTCACGGTGAGAAAGAAGTTCAACACACACACACAGCACGGTTGGTTACGTACGGTGTGAAAGAAGTTCACACACACATGGCACGGTTGGCTACGTACGGTGTGAAAGAAATTCAACAGACAGCACGGTTGGCTACGTACGGTGTGAAAGAAGTTCAACACACACACACACAGCACGGTTGGCTACGTACGGTGCGAAAGAAGTTCAACAGACAGAGAGAGACACAGAGAGAGACACAGAGAGAGACACAGAGAGAGACACAGAGAGAGAGAGAGAGACAGAGAGAGAGACACAGAGAGAGACACAGAGAGAGACACAGAGAGAGACACAGAGAGAAACACAGAGAGAGACACAGAGAGAGACACAGAGAGATACACAGAGAGATACAGAGAGACACAGAGAGAGACACAGAGAGATACAGAGAGAGACACAGAGATACAGAGAGAGACACAGAGATACAGAGAGAGACACAGAGAGAGACACAGAGAGATACGAACGGGAGAACTCACGCTGCGGGGCTAATGTCATCACAGCAAGTGCCAAGGGAGTGGGTTTTAGGACACGTCATGGGTAGAAGACAAGAACTAACAAACAAAACTTGACTATCTTGAACAGTGTGGGACGACCGCCTCCTGAAACGTGCGTTACTAATTACACACACACCAACCAAACACACACACCAACCAAATACACACACACCAACCAATTACACACACACACACACACCAACGACACACACACACCAACCACACACACACACCAACCAAATACACACACCAACCAAATACACACACACACACCAACCAATTACACACACACACCAACCAATTACACACACACACCAACCACACACACACACCAACCAAATACACACACCAACCAATTACACACACACCGACCAAATACACACACACCAACCAAATACACACACACCAAATACACACACACCAACCAAATACACACCCACCAACCAAATACACACACCAACCAAATACACACACACACCAACGACACACACACACCAACCAATTACACACACACCAACCACACACACACACCAACCAATTACACACACACACCAACCAAATACACACACACAAAATACACACACACACACACCAACCAAATACACACACACACCAACCAAATACACACACACACCAACCAAATACACACACCAACCAAATACACACACACCAACCAATTACACACACACACCAATTACACACACACACCAATTACACACACACACCAATTACATACGTGGCAACCCCCTTATCAGTGCCCTACCTAATGACGCACCAATTCAGACCTCATTGATCACCCCGTGCCCCCTTATACATCTCAACGTTCATCCTACGAAGTCCCATCATCACAAGGGAGAGAAACACACAAACAAATTGACATTTTAGGTGTTTTTGTCCCGTAATTGAAACGGCTGTATGGCCCTGTGGGCCGTAAAAATACATTTCCCTGGACAATAATAAGGGGTTGACAGGTATGGTATAGTGTAGTGTATAGTGGAGTGTATAGTAGTGTATAGTGGAGTGTATAGTAGTGTATAGTGTAGTGTGTAGTGTATAGTGGAGTGTATAGTGGCGTGTATAGTATAGTGTATAGTGGAGTGTATAGTTTATTGTATAGTAGTGTATAGTGTAGTGTATAGTATAGTAGTGTATAGTGTAGAGTATAGTAGTGTATAGTGTAGTGTTTAGTGGTGTATAGTGTAGTGTATAGTGTAGTGTATAGTGGTATAGTAGTGTATAGTGTAGTGTCTAGTGTAGTGTATAGTAGTATAGTAGTGTGCAGTGTAGTGTATAGTGTAGTGTATAGTGTAGTGTATAGTAGTATAGTAGTGTGCAGTGTAATGTATAGTGTAGTGTATAATAGAGTATAGTAGTGTAGCGTATAGTAGTGTAGTGTATAGTAGTGGTGTATAGTATAGTGTATGGTGTAGTGTAGTGGTGTATAGTGTAGTGTATAATGTAGTGTAGTGTATAATGTAGTGTAGAACAAACCTGTCAACCCCTTATCAGTGCCCAACCTTTCCAGACCAACTCAGACCTTATCGGTCACCCCGTGCCCCCCTTAAAACTCTCAACGTTCATCCTACAAAGTCCCATCATCATGTGAGCGTCGCTCCTCCGCCCTCCGTTTTTGTTGGAGGGCGACTGCCTCCAACTGCCCAGTAGCGTCCTTCACGAGCCTCCTCCACAGAGGCCGATCTTGACACCGCTGGTACCGGTCATCGGCAAATCCACTCAGCTCCACGTCCTCCTGTACCACATCACTCCATCTCTTCTCTAGCCCGTGCCGCGCCCGTTTAGCCCCCTTGATCCGGCCGAACAAAAGCTGTTTCGGCATGCGGTGGCTGGGCATGCGGGCTGCATGACCCAGCCACCGCATTGCCTGCTGGAGGAGCTCACCGATGGGAGCTTGCCCAGATCTTTCACGGATTTGTGAGCTCTTCGCACAATCCAGCCTGATTAAACCCAGGATGGATCGTAGGCAGGCTAGCCTAAATGTTTTTAATCGGCGAAGATGTTCCATTAGGGGGGTCCACGTTTCGCAAGCGTAGAGAAGGGAGGGGATGACCGTGGCCGAGAAGACCTGAAGCTTAGTGCGGAGCGACAGACCAGGTAGCTTCCACACAGCATTACGCAACCGATGAAAAGATATTGCCGCTCGACTGATTGGGAGTGAGACCTCTGCTGTTAAACTGGAGCCGGTCATAAGCACACTGCCCAGGTATGGGAAACTCTCCACTCTCTCCACAACTGCCCCATCACTGATTGGGAGTTGTGGGCGTGGAGTGTCCGATGGTACAAAATACCCAGGCAGGTGCTTAGTTTTGGTGGGGCTGATGGTAAAGCCCCATCTCTTAGTGGCACGCTCCAGTCTCAGCAGCAGCGTCTCCAACTCCTCCTCTGAATGAGCAGCTATGCCCAAATCATCGGCATACATAACGTGGTTGAGCAATAGGGAGCCATCCCTTGACCGCACCCGGGCATCGATCAGCCTCCCATTATATCTGTACACACACACACTGACACACACACAAACACATACAAACACTGACACACACATGACACACTCACACTCTGACACTCACAAACACACACTCACAAACACACAAACACACACTCAAACACACTGACACACACTCACACACACTGACACACACTCACACACACTGTCACAAACAGTGACACGCTCACAAACACAGTGACACGCTCACAAACACAGTGACACGCTCACAAACACAGTGACACGCTCACAAGCACAGTGACACGCTCACAAACACAGTGACACGCTCACAAACACAGTGACACGCTCACAAACACAGTGACACGCTCACAAACACAGTGACACGCTCACAAACACAGTGACACGCTCACAAACACAGTGACACACTCAAACACAGTGACACACTCAAACACAGTGACACACTCACAAACACAGTGACACACTCACAAACACAGTGACACACACAAACACAGTGACACACTCACAAACACACTGACACACTCACAAACACACTGACACACTCACAAACACACTGACACACTCACAAACACACTCACACACACAAACACACTGACACACACAAACACACTGACACACTCACACACACAAACACACTGGCACACACAAACACACTGACACACTCACACACAAACACACTGACACACTCACACACAAACACACTCACACACAAACACACTGACACACACAAACACACACAAACACACTGACACACTCACATACACACTCACACACACACTGACAAACACACTGACAAACACACTGACACACTCACAAACACACTGACAAACACACTGACACACTCACAAACACACTGACACACTCACACACACACTGACAAGACCGCTGAGGGGACAGGAAGTGCTGTCAACAGTGCCGGTATAAAGGACGGGCGGGCGGGCAAACGTGGCTTTACAAACACCACGCCCGCCCGCCTTTGTATCCCCAGTAACGACAGTCCTCTCACTCGCCGTTGTCTCTCCTCACACACACGCCGCACAAACTCTGGCGACACGGCTACAACGCCAAGGCCGAGTCGACCTAGCGGAAGCCCAAATAAACCGAAGCCCAAATAAACACCCCGCGACTACGCGTAGCGGCCTAACCCGCGTAGGCTTTTCCCGTCTTTCCTAGAAGCCCCAAGCCGGCCGGGGTCGGGGGGCCCACCCGCCCCGACCGCCCGCCCGCCCGCCCCCACCTCCCCAGAGAAAAAAAAAAACAGCGGCTCGTATCGTCGTGAGGTAAAGTTTGCCGTCGTTACCGTCATACTGCAGGTCGAAGAGAACCAGCAGCAGGGGGAAGGACGACGCGGCCTTGTTGACCCACGATACGGGAGCGATCATCGCAGTGAAAGTAACGACAGCGAGTTCTATGTTTGGCCGCTGATGCCGTATGGTTCAACGCTTCACATTATCGCGCCCCGCGAAGTTAAAGCGAGCGTGATGACGTCACCCCCCCACCCCAACCGTGCGCGATGACGTCGCGAGGCGCACGTACGCGGCTCTAACCCCAAACAAACCGCCGTGCGCGTTGACGTCACTCGGGGGTCGTGGCCAATCGACGCGCGCTACGCTGCTGGTGGGGAGGTGGGGGGGGGTTGGTGGTTAGGGTGGGGTGCACGCAACGGAGCGTGGGCTTTTGAGATTGGCCGAGGCGGCGGCTGGGGGGGGGGTGGAGGAATCACGCGGGAGAGGCGTGGGGGTATGAACAGATGGGGGCTTGCGATTGGCTGAGACGGGTGCACAGGTGCGGCGTTCCTATTCGATGATGGGGAAAAAATAAAAAGGCGTGGCCTTTCGGGCGAATGTTTCCGGAAGTGGAGTGGAAACGCATCTTCCGGAAGCGGAAGTTGCGCGATGAGGGTTCAGAAACGGCTGCCGGAAGATGAACTTTTGCGTTCAGGAATATCTTCCGGAAGAAGAAGATGAGAGATGAGTTCAAAAACATCTTCCGGAAGCGGAAGAGAAGCGTTGTGTCAGAAATTTATTCCGGAAGGCGAGCGTTGTGTTCAGAAACATCTTCCGGAAGAGGAAGAAGAATGTCGCGTTCGGAAGCAACTTTCGGAAGAAGAGCGTTGGGATTCAGAAGCATCTTCCGGAAGAGGAAGAAAGGGGAATCAAGTTCATAAACATCTTCCGGAAGTAGAAGAGGAGCGTTGTGAATGAGATCTTCCGGAAGAGAAAGATGAACGTCGTGTTCAGAAGCATCTTCCTGAAGAGGAAGAAAGGGGCGTCATGTTCATAAAATCTTCCGGAAGTAAAAGACGGGAGTTGTGAGTAAGATCTTCCGGAAGAGGATGATGAACGTCACCTTCAGAAACATCTTCCGGAAGAGGAAGAGCCGGGCGTCATGTTAATAGAAAATCTTCCGGAAGTAGAATACTGGCGTTGTGAATACGATCTTCCGGAAGAGGAAGATTGGTACGTCGCGTTCAGAAATACCTTCCGGAAGAGCCAACTAAGCTATTCATCTCGCTCGCGTTTTTTGTCTGAAATCCTGCGTCCTTTCACTGGAAAAACCATCTCTCCGGTACAAAATTCTACTCACCTGGTATCGACAATCAAGGGGTGTTTCCCTGTCCCCAGACGACCTGCTTGTCAGTTTTGACGTGGTTTCCTTATTCACCAAACCTGACACCATCGCAATCATTGAAGACTTGGTTCATCAAGGACTAAAACACTGAGGTACCGCCCCCTGGTGAGACACTGTTTAACCAATACATACTTCACTTGGAATGGAACTTTCTACAAACAAACTGAGGGGCACCCCAATGGGCTCCTCCCTATCTCCGGTTATAGCTAACATTTTCATGGAGAAATTTGAGACAGACGCCATCCGGACTGCCACTCTGCGCCCAACCTTATGGAAGAGGTACGTGGATGACACTTTTGTCATCTGGCCACGTGGCCGGCCTGCTCTAGACCAATTCCTCGACCGCATCAATTCCATACACCCAGCCATCAGATTTACCATGGAGGTCGAAAAAGATGGCAAGCTACCTTTTTTCGGATGTCCTAATTCAAAAAAATAGTTGACAATTTTAACCTTCATTTTTCTGAAGCTGGTAATCTTTTTGATAATGTATTGGGAGTCACCCCTGCTCCTGCAAATTCCTACACCCCTGTCCAAACATTAAACGAATTTAGTTTCCAGCCAATCCACGAAAGTAATGTTCTGAAACAACTGTCCTACCTCCAAGGGTCCTCCTCTACCGGAGCAGATAGTTTCCCTGTCTTTGCTCTACTAACTGTTGGTCACCTAATATACAAACCTATAGCCCATATTTTCAACCTGTCCATCAAAGAAGCATCAGTTCCTCTAGAATGGAAATATTCCTATGTCCGTCCACTTCACAAAGGGGGCCCTAAAGATGATCCCAATAACTACCGACCTATCTCAATTTTGTCCCCATTGATGAAAATTTTTGAAAAATTATTGTCCACCAACAATCTACTAAATCTAAAACAATCTGGGTTCCGGAAAAAAATATAGCACCACATCTGCTGCATTAGACTCTTTGAATCAAATTTACAATAGCCTTGATAATAAGCAGTACTGTGCCTGTCTTTTTCTTGACCTGTCCAAAGCTTTTGATACAGTTGACCACAACACCCTGCTTAGTAAACTAAGTTGCCTCGGTTTTTCCGAGAACACAGTACAATGGTAAAAAAAATACCTCTTTTCTCGCACCCAAACTGTATTCACAGATGGTTGGAGGTCAAACAGTGTTAAGATAACAAAAGGGGTTCCACAGGGTTCCATCCTCGGCCCCCTCTTGTTCTCCCTTTATGTCAATGACTTGGGCACTGAACTGGATCATTCCAGGGTAAATCTTTTTGCAGATGACACGATACTGATTACTGCTGGCCGCTCTCCGGATGACGTGATTGCTAAGCTCCAGGGTGATTTCAATAAACTACAACATCAGCTAGTTTATCTTAAACTAGTCCTGAATACCTCCAAAACCAAGGTGCTATGCTTCTCTCCGGGACTAAAGCAGGAAGTAATTTTTCCCCAATTACATTCCTTGAATAATTATCAAATAGAGCAAGTCAAGATCTATAAGTATCTTGGGGTCATCCTGGATTCAAAACTTAGTTTTGAAGATCACATTGATTATATTGGTAAAAAGACAAAAATAAAAATTGGTTTTCTGTATCGACACAAGCACTGCTTCCCCCCAATGTTCCGTTTGGAATTGATAAAAGCTACCATACTGCCTCTACTTGACTACTGTGACATCGTGTATAAATCAGCTAGTAACGAATTGGCCACGTTCTGTTGATGTGACACAAACCCCCCATGAACATATACTGGCCTTTCACGATATGTGGCAATTTTAGATTCACCCCTCAAATGATGAATAAACCCATCCCCAGGGCAAAGCGGCGATTCTCCCACCCACAACCCACCCCTACCCACCCACTACCCACCCACTACCCACCCCTACCCACCCACTACCCACCCCCTACCCACAACCACTCCCTACCCACCAACAACCCACCCCATACCCACCCACAACCCACCCTTACCCACCCACTACCCACCCCTACCCACCTACTACCCACCCACTAGCCACCCCCTACCCACCTACAACCCACCCCCTACCCACCCACTACCCACCCCCTACCCACCCACTACCCACCCCCCACCCACAACCCACCCTTACCCACCCCCAACCCACCCCCTACCCACCCACAACCCACCCCTACCCACCCCCTACCCACCTACTAGCCACCCCTACCCACCCCTACCCACCCCTTACCCACCCCCTACCCGCCCACAACCCACCCTTACCCACCCACAACCCACCCCCTACCCACCCACAACCCACCCCCTACCCACCCCCTACCCACCCACGCGCGCGCGACAGTGATGGAGATGCCGTCTCCTGCTCCTGCTGCTGCTGCTGTCTCTGATGCTGGGGGTGGTGCCGATGACCCCGCGTGGCCGAGCCGAGCGGCGTGCCTGTCGCTCGCCCTCTGCGCCTTCCAAGCCGCCGTGGCCCTCGCTCTGTCGCGGGTGGTGGGAGGCCGCTGGCAGCTGCCACCCGCAGAGCGATGGGTCGTGGCCTGGTTGCTCTATGACGCAGTGGTTCACATCACACTGGTGAGTGAGTGAGTGGGTGGTGGTGGTGGTGTAGTTACACTGCAGCGCCACACCTATTTACCATCATTAGGGGAAAGAACGGTGATCCAATCTCCGACCCCCCCCCGCAAGGAACAGGTTTGCAGATTTTGCTGCTCGTTTCTGTGAAGTCCTGGGGGTGGGGGGAAATCCCTCAGCCAGGAAAACATCGTGAGGCACAAAGTGGGGATGACCCTGCTGAGGCTGCGGCGCCTCAAATATTGGAGGAAGAAGTCACCCCCTGTGAGTGGCTGGCTCAGGTGCCATCTGTTGAGGAAGTACTGAAGGCGATCCGGAGTCTGAGACCAGGAAAGGCACCGGGTAGAGATGATCTCCCAAGCGAAATGCTGAGGGAGGATGGCGTTTGTGCACAGACTGCCCTATATGACATCATAACAACAGTCTGGACCACTGGACGGGTTCCGCAGGACTGGACGGATGCCCTGGTGGTCCCCATATTTAAGACGGGAGACCGCACAGACTGTAACAACTACAGAGGCATCTCACTCCTCAGTGTGCCAGGAAAGGTCCTGCCAAGGATTATTCAACATCGCCTTGCCAGGCGCGCTGAGGAGAGGCTTGTAATTATGCACATAAATTATGCTGATTCGATAGATAATCGTGTTAATTTATGCGAGTTGGCGTGGGTATGATAATGCAGGTCGTTATGGATTATGTGGTCGAGCCTCGGTGACGAGGTTTGGTTATGAATTGGAATAACGCAATTAATCGTATGCAGTGACGCAGGCGTTGTGAGCGTGAATGAGAGAGAGTCGATTCGACTCTGCTCTTTAATTCCGTATTATCGATAAGGATACGATTACTCTCGATTGAACATTACGAATTATGTGTGTTATGGATTGTGTGGTGATAGTGTGCTTATGATAGGTCCCCAGGATTCAGATCTCATACGCAGAACAATATTATGCAGAATTTCAGGAAGAATCACACACAAACCTTCTGCTTTAATCAATTTTATTTCTAGCTAACTTAAATTTTTGGATAATATGAAAACTCAATCTCGGGATTTTGGAATTTCAACACAGCGTTAACATGATACCATCACGATTGTGTTGTTTCACTTTGATAACGGCACCTGTGGTTAATTCCCGACGCGTAACGCATTTGATCGGTTGTTGAGAGAGAGATTAAAAACGTGCGAACTATTCTATCAAAACCTTAACCTTATAATATGCAAACTCGTATTCTTGAATGATTACACAACACGGCAGTCGGTCTTTGATTCGTATCCAATCCTTAACACATTCTGATATGCGAAATTATTATGCTTGAAATCGTCAGCACAGTACCACGGCGATGTTCGTTCAATGATTCATCAACGATTATGCAATTAAAGCGTTCGACTGAAATAATTCTGATTGCCTCATCAACGTAACTCAATGGGTGGCGATGTTTTTCGTTATCAGCTAATAGTTGACGCAGTTATCATGAGTCTTGTATGTTTAATGGGAGGGTTGTTGATTTCTTGCGTTGAGCAAACGCCTAGGTCGATTTCCTTGTCAAAAAAAAATGTTTGTTCGTTGTGTAGCGGTGGGGGAGTGAGGAGGGAGTGTGGGGGAGGGGCATACGAACGACTGCCAGTTTCTGTCCACCGCTGGCTGGATGAGTCAGCACGACGCTCGCCGTCTTCGCGCCGATGGGTGTTGAGTGCGGGGCCGCTTCCCTCTCAGCCCTGGTGACGCGAAGTTGCGCGCTGTAGCACGCTGGTGGCACGCTGTTGGCACGCGCTGGTGCTGGTGCTGGTGGCACGCTGGTGGCGCGCTGTTGGCACGCGCTGGTGCTGGTGCTGGTGGCACGCTGGTGGCACGCGCTCCCTCTCCTTGAAGATGCACGAACGCGCCCGTGCTGGTTCGCTGACAGCAGTTTCTCTCCACTGCTGGCTGAGCTGCTGCACGCTCTTGCTTGGCGTTGCTGGCCGCGCTCTTTCTCCTTGAAGATGCGCGAACGCGCCCGTGCTGATTCGCTGACAGCAGTTTCCTCCACTGCTGGATGAGCTGCGCCGGTGCGCGCTCTTTCCGCTGCTGTAGTATCTGACGCTGCGCTCGCGGGCGACAGGTCAAGTTTTTCTTCTGCTGAGTGAGCCGAGTCGCACGCGCTCTCTTTGTTGAGGTTGTTAGCGGCTCTCTGACAGCAGGTTTCCTCCACTGCTGTATGACTCAAGTCGCACGCGCTTGGTTACTGGTTTGCTGAAGTTGTTGGCGGCTGCTCGTGCTTTTCCGCTGCTGGTTGAGCCACGTTGCACGTGGAGATGCTCGAGCGCTCTCAGCGCTGATTCGCTGATACTTTGTTGGCGGCTGGCCAAGCTTTTTCTTCAGTTGAGTGAGTTGAGTCGCACGTGCTCTCTCTCTTTTGAAGTGCGCGAACGCGCCCGTGCTGGTTCGCTGACAGCAGATTTCCTCCACTGCTGTATGACTCACTTTTGTTGATACATCGCGACTCAGCGATCCTCGCTACTCAGCGAGGCTCGGAGCCAGCCGCTCCATGCGACTGCTCGTCCTGTGGACGTCTTGACTCGCTGATCTGTCTTGACTCTTGACTTAACTTCACTGACTTTTGAAAATGCGGCTGACCGTTATATTCAAAGACAATTCTCTCTGCGCAGTGGAAAAGGGGGGGCGGGGTCTGTGTGTGTGAGTTCGTGTGTGTGTGTGTACAGATGGCTCCTGCGATAACGATCTGTTTGCCCTGGCGTGAAATTCCTCTCTCGCGCTCTTCGGGAGAGACAAAGGTGGTCGGGAGTACCTATCTCTTTATACTTTCGACTTTATATTTCTCAAATACAATTTGGTCCCATGTTCGCCAAGACTCGTGTTTGTAACTACGTCCTCCCGACACCCCTCTCGGGTTACCGAGGTTCGCATTGATATGATGGAGTTATTAGAAAGAAAAATAATTTTCATCCTGAGTTTAAGAGGTCCATTTCCAGATTGTTGGAATCCATATCCCTTGGTTCTGTAAGGTTCTATAATGGAATATCGTTTAAGGTTAACACGTTATCATTAATGTTATATTGCAATTTTCTTTAAAACTTTGTTTGCCTGGTTGCCGTGTGTGGGGTGGGGTGTGTCTCCTCATAAAACCCGGCTGGCTTTTCCAGATGGCCCCTTGTGATAAGGTGTAATTCCTGCTTCTCCGTGCTGTGAGAGAGACAAAGGTGTTCGGGGTTGCTTGGGATATTGTTTAAACTCTTTCGTAAGTTTGCCCGTTCGCCTCATTCCTTCCCGATAACCTTTGATGTGACTCGGTATTTTGTCTCCAAGCTTTGTTTTAACAGTAAAAGTATTAAAGGTGAAAATCATTTGATAGCGAATGAATTATTGATAATAATTCACTGATGTATCTGGTGGCCTGGTCTTGATTGGAGTGAGCGCGAGGACCGCTAACTTTAGCTTATTCTTGTTATTGCATTTTAAATTTGAACCATTGTTTTAATGACAAAGGAAAAAAAAATATATGGTTTAACCCGTGGGCGTCCTCGTTTCTGGCTTGCGGAGGGCTTCCCTCTGCGTGACCTCCCTTAGGGCACATCAAACTCTTGTTTATCTGGAGATCTTCGCAGATAGCTGCTAACATCCTCGCCTCGAGAGTTTTATTATTTCTTTATTTTTTAATGGTCTGTTTATGATCGACATCTGGTTTTTCGTGTGCCTGGCTTACGGGTTTTATTGATTATTTTGTTTGTTTGTTAAAAAAAAAATTATATATAACGCAAACATTATTAATATCAATTTTGGAAAAGGCTCATATACAACACTCCACCCGCACAATTCCCAATCGGTGATGGGGCAGTTGTCGAGAGAGTGGAGAGTTTCCCATACCTGGGCAGTGTGCTCATGACCGGCTCCGGTTTAACAGCAGAGGTCGCACTCCGAATCAGTCGAGCGGCAATATATTTTAATTGGTTGTGTAACGCTGTGTGGAAGGTACCTGGTCTGTCGCTCCGCACGAAGCTTCGGGTCTTCTCGGCCACAGTCATTCCCTCCGTTCTCTATGCTTGCGAAACGTGGACCCCCCTAATTGAACATCTTCGTCGGTTAGAAACATTTAGACTGGCCTGCCTACGACCAATCTTGGGTTTAACCAGGCTGGATTGTGTGAGGAGCTCACAAATCCTCGAAAGATCTGGACAAAGTCCCATCGGCGAGCACCTCCGGCAAGCAAGGCTGCGTTGGCTGGGCCATATAGCCCGCATGCCCAGCCACCGCATGCCTAAACAGCTTTTGTTCTTATTCATATTCTTAGTTTTTTCGGTAAAGTCACGTTGAAGAGAAACAACAAAATAACAAAATATATATATAAAACAATAAAAAATTCTCACGACGTTTCGACCATAACTCAAACGGTCATCATCAGGTGTGTTGGTTTGCATAAATTTATTTTTAAACGGCACATTTATTTATTTATAAAAAACGTTGGCGTCACGCGCAGCGATTTGGCAGTTTGCCCAGGACTAGTCCATCTATTTTTTTTAAAAGAGGAGGGGGGAGACGAAATTTTTTATAATGTATGCTGTCTGAAAGCCACTGTAAGCGTGAACAATCAATCAAGAACTGAAATGATTTATCAAATCTTTCCAATGATTGCTAAGATAGAATCCATCTTCTCGGTTGAAATTGTCTCTGTGCTTGTATATGTGGATAGCCTCATGAACGAATCTCTCATGGAAGCCAGATGGCTTACAAAGAACCTCCGTCTTGGAAAAGTCAATGTCATGTGAGCCTACTGAATTAGAACAATGATCTGCTACGGCCGAGGTGTTGGTCCTACCGTGTTTAAGGTCTGCTTTATGTTCACGAATGCGGTCCGAGACATGGCGTTTGGTTTCTCCAATGTAACTACTACCACAGAGGCAACTTAGTTTGTAGACACCAGGGTATTGTATGTCCGGAATCACATCTTTTACAGATGGAACCAGATCACGGATTTTATGTAATGTGTTGAAACGGACCTGGATCTTGTGTTTATTCAAGATTTTGGAGATCTTTTTTGTGATCCCAGCAATGTAGGGTAAAGTGATGGTTTTGAAAGGCTCCTCAAGAGGGTTCTAAATAAATAAATGTGCCGTTTAAAAATAAATTTATGCAAACCAACACACCTGATGATGACCGTTTGAGTTATGGTCGAAACGTCGTGAGAATTTTTTATTGTTTTATATATATTTTGTTATTTTGTTGTTTCTCTTCAACGTGACTTTACCGAAAAAACTAAGAATATGAATTACTGCAGTCACGAAAGCTTTAAATCAAAAAGCTTTTGTTCTATTATATTCTTAGTTTTTTCGGTAAAGTCACGTTGAAGAGAAACAACAAAATAACAAAATATATATAAAACAATAAAAAATTCTCACGACGTTTCGATTGCAACACAAGCAATCATCATCAGGTACAGAAGAGCTAAATTTCAGAGAGAGAGGAAACACATAACCGCAGATATATACAGACCTTAAGTAGAGGGAATTAACACAGACACACCAGGGGACACAGAGAGAGACGGAGCACACCAAATCAAACAGGGTTTAGCAAAATTTGGAAACTATATAAAGCAACACAGACGGTCGGTCAAAACACAATTAACGCATGGTCTGGTAGATTACGCTATTTCAAAGATTGCTAAATTGTAAGTTAAGTGTGAAATTTAAGAGAGTGATGGAACACAGACCATAAAGAGACATATGGGGAGAGACAGGCACACAGTGAAGAAGTAAAGCCGCATCTCTGTGACGACGCCTTAAATAGACAGACGGTGGGGCTGGGGCTCAGACACACGGCTGTCTCCTCCTACACCGACGGATGCTTGAGGAGAGTCCAAACCACGGACCGTGCTGCAACGCCCAATGACCGCTTCAATCATTCATCGGCAAACGTTCCAGATATTCGTCAGGCTACTCTAGAAGCCCATCCGCTGGCTCACCCAGCGTTTAAGCCTGCGAGTTTCTGTAATTCTTTGGGTCTTCATGCTAATCCCTGGGTGTCAATGTGAAAATAAGGCTACCTGTCTTTGGGTTGCGATGTGAATCTACGGGTGTCTATGTAAGTCTGAATCTCCACTCGAGCCTACGTCTCAAACCATGGATCACATACTGTAGCACACGGCACTGCCCGCTTCACTCATTCGTCGGCAAAGTTTCTGATATTCACCAGGCTACTCCTGGGTTTTCCAACTGCAGACCATGTCCGTTAATCACGGCGCTTTCGCCATAGCCCTTGCAGTGTAAGAATGGCGCGAGGAGCCAAAGGAACCTAATAATATACTCCTGTTGCTGTCCACTTGACCACCCACCAACCTCGACACAAAAAAATGAAACCTTGCCGGTCCACTCACACCACACGGTGAAACAAAAAAAATAACAACTGTTTTAATTTGCTTATGTTGTTCGTGGGTGGATCTGGTGATACGGCGTTGGGCGAGTCCACTGGTTCACGTGTCCAGTGGTGGCATGCAAATGTAATTGGGGGGGCTAAACGGGCGCGGCATGGGCTAGAGAAGAGATGGAGTGATGTGGTACAGGAGGATGTGGAGCTGGTACCAGCGGTGTCAAGATCAGCCTCTGTGGAGAAGGCTCGTGAAGGATGCTACTGGGCAGTTGGAGGCAGTCGCTCACAACAACGAGCGGAGCGCCGGGTGGCTAAAGCACAGCAAGTTGGCACAGTAGGGGGCACAGGTGGTGCATCAGCCAGTCATCTCTGTCATCTCAGTCAGTCGACCCGTGGCACCTGCTGGGTCTGCCCCATGACATCCTGCCAGCGGGCATTCGACACTTCACGTGGTAGCCTCAAGGTGCACATAGCCTGGCAAAAGCGTCGTGGTGACGTCACCACCACTTAGTGGCGAATGGCGGTTGTTGTTATTGATGATGGTAATGGTGGTGCTGATGGTGGTGATGGTGGTGGTGATGGTGGTGGTGATGGTGATGATGGTGATGGTGGTGATGGTGCTGATGGTGGTGATGGTGCTGATGGTGGTGATGGTGATGATGGTGATGGTGGTGATGGTGGTGGTGATGATGGTGGTGTTGATGGTGAGTGATGGTGTAGCTACACTGGGTGAGTGATGGTGTTGCTACGCTGGTGATGGTGTAGCTACGCTGGTGATGGTGTAGCTACACTGGTGATGGTGTAGCTACACTGGGTGATGGTGTAGCTACACTGGTGATGGTGTAGCTACACTGGTGATGGTGTAGCTACGCTGGTGATGGTGTAGCTACACTGGGTGATGGTGTAGCTACACTGGGTGATGGTGTAGCTACACTGAGTGATGGTGTAGCTACACTGGGTGATGGTGTAGCTACACTGAGTGATGGTGTAGCTACACTGTGTGAGTGATGGTGTAGCTACGCTGGTGATGGTGTAGCTACACTGGGTGAGTGATGGTGTAGCTACACTGGGTGATGGTGTAGCTACACTGTGAGTGATGGTGTAGCTACACTGGTGATGGTGTAGCTACACTGGGTGATGGTGTAGCTACACTGGTGATGGTGTAGCTACGCTGGTGATGGTGTAGCTACACTGGGTGAGTGATGGTGTAGCTACACTGGGTGATGGTGTAGCTACACTGTGAGTGATGGTGTAGCTACACTGTGTGAGTGATGGTGCAGCTACCCTCTGTGAGTGATGGTGTAGCTACACTGGTGATGGTGTAGCTACACTCTGTGAGTGATGGTGTAGCTACACTCTGTAAGTGATGGTGTAGCTACACCGGCCTGTGATGTTGGTGTTGCTACACAGCACTTGCCCCAACAGTCTGTCTGAGGCTACACGGTGGGGCTGGGGACCTTTGTCTTTGTGCGTGCAGGAGGGTCCCTTCGTCTGCATCTCGCTGGTGAGCTCTGTGGCGGAGTCGGACAGCGTCCACTCCATGCTGTGTAAGCCAACTGCTCACCGGGGTTCACGTCCACGCCAGCTCTCTGTGTTGTGTTGCATCGTGTTTCTAAGTTTACTGTGTGCTTGTTTTCTCATTCACTCTTACCTGATGACGGTTGCTTGTGTTGCAATCGAAACGTCGGATTCTATTATTATTATTTGATTTTATTTCCTACGTGACTTTACCGAAAGAACCACGGAGCAAAACTAGTTTAGTTTGTAGATGAGATGTAGAGAGCCCAGTGGGATCTTACCTGGTACAATAAAAATAGTTTAGTTTGTAGATGGGATGTAGAGACCTCAGTGGGACCTTGCCTGGTACAATAAAAATAGTTTAGTTTGTAGATGAGATGTAGAGACCTCAGTGGGACCTTGCCTGGTACAATAAAAATAGTTTAGTTTGTAGATGAGATGGAGAGAGCCCAGTGGGACCTTACCTGGTACAATAAAAATAGTTTAGTTTGTAGATGAGATGTTGAGACATCAGTGGGACCTTACCAGGTACAATAAAAATAGTTTAGTTTGTAGATGAGATGTTGAGGCATCAGTGGGACCTTACCAGGTACAATAAAAATAGTTTAGTTTGTAGATGAGATGGAGAGAGCCCAGTGGGACCTTACCTGGTACAATAAAAATAGTTTAGTTTGTAGATGATATGTAGAGACGTCAGTGGGAACTTACCTGGTACAATAAAAATAGTTTAGTTTGTAGATGAGATTGAGAGAACTCAGTGGGACCTTACCAGGTACAATAAAAATAGTTTAGTTTGTAAATGAGACGGAGAGAGCCCAGTGGGACCTTCCCTGGTACAATAAAAATGACATCTGAAACGGCGCGTTGCGGCGACCGTGCCGTATCGACGCCGTGCCCCGGCGTGCCGCAGGGAAGGAGTACGGTCGCGCCGATAGCCGCTGGCTTCACTCGGACCCCACCGTGGTGGCGCTCGAGATCCTGACGGTGGCGGTTGCAGGGCCCCTGGCGCTGCTGCTGGTGTTCGCCATCGTCCAGGACAAGCACTACCGGTAGGGGTCACGCCGCACTACCGGTAGGGGGTCACGCCGCTCTACCGGTAGGGGTCACGCCGCACTACCGGTAGGGGTCACGCCGCTCTACCGGTAGGGGGTCACGCCGCTCTACCATTAGGGGGTCACGCCGCTCTACCGGTAGGGGGTCACGCTGCACTACCGGTAGGGGGTCACCCCGCTCTACCGGTAGGGGTCACGCCGCTCTACCGGTACGGGTCACGCCGCTCTACTGGTAGGGGGTCACGCCGCTCTACCGGTAATGGGTCACCCCGCTCTACCGGTAGGGGTCACGCCGCTCTACCGGTAGGTGTCACGCCGCTCTACCGGTAGGGGGTCACGCTGCACTACCGGTAGGGGGTCACCCCGCTCTACCGGTAGGGGTCACGCCGCTCTACCGGTACGGGTCACGCCGCTCTACTGGTAGGGGGTCACGCCGCTCTACCGGTAATGGGTCACCCCGCTCTACCGGTAGGGGTCACGCCGCTCTACCGGTAGGGGTCACGCCACTCTACCGGTAGGGGTCACGCCGCTCTACCGCTGGTGGGCGCTGTGGGTGTCACTGTATCCGTGACGACACTGTGGGGTGTCCATGTAACGACGCATCTCCACCAACACCACTAACCACGTTGTCTCCACCGCGCACTCACTAACCCACACCACCATCACCACCTCCGCCCATACCACCACCACCACCATCACCGCTTCCGCACACACCACCACCACCACCACCACCGCCTCCGCTCACACCACTAACCCACATCGCCGTCAACACGACTGCCCGCACCACTCGCCCGCATCGCCGCCGCCTCCACCCACACCACCTCCACCGCCACGCTTCCCCCCTCCCCCGCCCGCCCGTAGCCACTTTGTTCAGGTGTGCCTGTGCGTGTGCGAGCTGTACGGCGGTTGGATGACGTTCGCCCCCGAGTGGCTGGCGGGCAGCGCCAGCCTGCGCACCGACAGCCCCGACCTCCTCTGGCTCTACCTCGTCTTCTTCAACGGCCTCTGGGTGCTGCTGCCCATTGTGCTGCTCGCCCAGTCCTGGGGGGCGCTCGCCGTCGCTCACCGACCGCGCGTGGCCAAGGCCGCCGGCGGCAAGCGGAAGCGGCGATGAGCCGAGCCGGAAGTCGGATGCAGAGGCGCGACCGTTGGAGGAGATTTCCCGTCGTCCGTCCGCCCGCCCAATTTTTTTTTGATTGGCGCGAGAGAAATGAAAATTTTTCAGAAATTATTTTGTTGGTTTGTGTGACGAGGCTGATTCAACCGCATTAATTGATCAATCTAAACGGTTTTCATTGAAACCTTCTGCTGCCAGGCCACCAAGATTATACGGCTTACCAAAAATACATAAAGTAGATACACCCCTTCGTTCCATCGTCTCTACTATCAACTCCCCCACCTACAAACTGGCTCGTTTTTTGTCTGAAATCCTGCGTCCTTTCACTGTAAAAACCACCTCTGCGGTACAAAATTCTACTCACCTGGTATCGACAATCAAGGGTATTTCCCTGTCCCCAGACGACCTGCTTGTCAGTTTTGATGTAGTTTCCTTATTCACCAAGGTTCCTGTACCTGACACCATCGCAATCATTGAAGACTTGGTTCATCAAGGACTAAACACTGAGGTACCCCCCCTGGTGAGACACTGTTTAACCAATACATACTTCACTTGGAATTGAACTTTCTACAAACAAACTGAGGGCACCCCAATGGGCTCCCCTTTATCTCCGGTTATAGCTAACATTTTCATGGAGAAATTTGAGACTGACGCCATAGAGACTGCCACTCTGCGCCCCACCTTATGGAAGAGGTACGTGGATGACACTTTTGTCATCTGGCCACATGGCCGGCCTGCTCTAGACCAATTCTTCGACCACATCAATTCCATACACCCAGCCATCAGATTTACCATGGAAGTCGAAAAAGATGGCAAGCTACCTTTTTTGGATGTCCTAATAAAAAAGAGACCTGATGGTTCAATGAGCCACTCTGTCTACAGGAAAGCTACCCTTACGGATGCTTATCTGAAACCGGATTCCCACCACCATCCATCACAGAAGAATTCTCTCATCAAGCCTCTGTATCATAGAGCCCAATGCGTATCCGACCAGGAACACATAGGCAGTGAACTCAAGCACGTACACCAAGCTCTTAAGGCTAATGGTTACTCGGACTATACAATCTGCAAAGCTATTACTCAAACCATGCAGAAGGACCCTCTTGAGGAGCCTTTCAAAACCATCACTTTACCCTACATTGTGGGGATCACAAAAAAGATCTTGAATAAACACAATATCCAGGTCCGTTTCAACACATTACATAAAATCCGTGATCTGGTTCCGTCTGTAAAAGATGTGATTCCGGACATACAATACCCTGGTGTCTACAAACTAAGTTGCCTCTGTGGTAGTAGTTACATTGGAGAAACCAAACGCCATGTCTCGGACCGCATTCGTGAACACAAAGCAGACCTTAAACACGGTAGGACCAACACCTCGGCCGTGGCAGATCATTGTTATAATTCAGTAGGCTCACATGACATTGACTTTTCCAAGACAGAGGTTCTTTGTAAGCCATCTGGCTAACATGAGAGATTCGTTCATGAGGCTATCCACATATACAAGCACAGAGACAATTTCAACCGAGAAGATGAATTCTGGCTTAGCAATCATTGGAAAGATTTGATAAACCATTTCAGGTTTTAATTGATTGTTCACACTTACAGTGGCTTTCAGACAGCATACATTAAATTTTTCGTCTCCCCCCTCCTCTTTTCAGAACATAGATGGACTAGTCCTTCTAAATAAACTGCCAAATCGCTGCGCGTGGCGCTAACGTTGTTTAGAAATAAATAAATACACCGTTTAAAAATAAATAAATTTATGCAAACCGACACACCTGATGACGACCGTTTGTGTTATGTTCGAAACGTCGTGAGAATTTTTATTGTTTTATATATATTTTATTATTTCCCTTCAACGTGACTTTACTGAAAGAACTAAGAATATTGGTCTATTTTGTTTTTTCTACCTGCTTACCACGTGATGACTTTGCTTGAAGGGAACGAGGAGCGTGGATTCCTGCAGTCACGAAAGCTTCAAATCAAGATGGCACTATTGCGTCCTTGCTTGCTGACGAAAAGTGTTACCGGCAGCGCGTGGCAGCACCGCACGTCAGCAGGCGACGGTAGATACGGGGAGAAAGACAGCGAAGGGAAAGCTCGGGAAGGGGTCCATCTGGAAGCCCCCGGGAACCTGCTGGCAGGTTCCAGAAGGGGGGCGTGGCCAGGGCGGGGCGAGGCCACGCCCTGAGGCGGGAGCTCGGGGCTGTTGCTAAAAGTGGATCTCCTCGCCGTTCGTCACCGTCGTCGCCGCCGCCGCCATCTTCACCATCGCCGGCAGGGGCGGAGCCACGGGGTGGGGGGGGGGGGGCTGGGGGGGGGGGACTCGGCCCCCCCAGAAATTTTGGGAAAGTCGGTAATCGGGATAACCGGATATCCGGCTGCTGCAAAATGCTGCAGACTGCCACCTTGTGTGCTGCCCTGCAGACTGCCACCTTGTGCTGCCCTGCAGGCTGCCACCTTGTGTGCTGCCCTGCAGGCTGCTTGAGCGGCAGCCTTTCGAACTCGTCGAACTTATCAGCCACATCAGCGGCTCCGACCTATTAACAAACTCCGCGTTCAAATCCAATAGAATTTGTTTTACGCATTTTGTGGCGCCCATTGTGAAACATAAACACACTGAGATATCTCAGAATATTGAAGTCAGCCTCACCCACCCACCCCCCCCCCCCAAAGTCAACATCCTGACTCCGCCCCTGATCACCGGGCCCCGCTAGCTCGACAGCCTGCCAACAACTGTACTGGCTAGGTAGTGCCGCTGAGAGTAGGCACGGCTGTGTGTGAGATATACGTAAAGAGTGTGCACCCACGTAGGGTGCGTGCAGTCCCCTTCGCGTGCAAGAGTAAAGAAGGGGCCTCCAATGATTCCTGTCTCCGAACTGCGTCACGACACCGACGTGATGACGACTCGGCACACTTCCCTTGAGATGGCACCTCATTGAAGACACATTCACTTGACGTCAGGCGGAGACCTCCACCGCAACAGCCCCGAGTCTCCCGCGCATCTTCCTTATATAACAACAAGAGGCCACGCCCCCCTTCTCGATCATTCTCGCTGACTCTGGACGCTCGCTCCACCGGCAGACTCCACCGTTCACTTCCGTCGCCTGACCACGCCCCCCTTCATCGATGATTCCCGTAGCCACCGGTCCCTTCGTACACCACGACTGGTTCACTTCACAAGGGCCGATTAACTTCCACAAGCTCGACCGATCCCCACCACGGACGGTGCAACTTAGGCGATGTCTGCAGCTGCACCCGCGGACAATGCCCCGACAGCCCAGAGAGGCACGTGCTGGCACCGCTTTGCGCTCCACTCATTAGCGGCCCGTGGCCTCCGGCCGGTGATTTCCCTCGCCGCAGCACGTTCCTTCGACACCCGCCCCGAGCGCATCCTGCCGCATTTGTTTTCCTCGAAGCCACAACCAGTTCAGCGCTATGGGTGCTCCCGCTCGCACATCGGAGAGGGGACGAAGGAAAGAAACTCGACAACGCGTCCAACGAATCGCCCGCACGCGGAAGTGGCATGCGCCGGCCACCGTTACCCCGTTCGGTTTACGGAAGTCGACACAGACGTCCCAGGACTACCGTCTGACTTCTCCACCCGCACCACGGGGGGCAATCCCGCAGACCGGTCGACGGCGGAATTGTATCCGCCGTCGACAGCGCGCCCACCGCCTGTTCACACGTCCCTCCTCATCCGATGTGAGCTCTCGCAAGCAGGGCTGCGCGTTCCGTATCAACGTGGTGCAGCGATATTTGAATGTGGGTGGAAGGACGGCTGTGGCCTCGGCGGTTACCGTGTTGGCCCATGTGATGCCCGCGGGTCAGATGAAACGTGGGCAGAGGCCCTTCGTAACGAGAATCCCGATTTGCCTAAGGCACAACAGGGCGAATTGAAGTCGCCGTCGCTGCAATTTCAGATGTCCCGGCAAGAGCAAGTTCGACATCGGTCGCACTTCGGAAACGGCTCTTGGCCCGCTTTTAGGATCGTCTGTGCCAGGCTAGGTGCAGAAAGAGGTCACCGGACAGACCCTGCAGGTGCCCGTGGGTTGACTGCTGTGTCAGGCTAGGTGCAGGAGGAGGTCACGGGACAGACCCTGCAGGTGCCCGTGGGTTGACTGCTGTGCCAGGCTAGGTGCAGGAGGAGGTCACGAGACAGACCCTGCAGGTGCCGTGGGTTGGCTGCTATGCCAGGCTAGGTGCAGGAGGAGGTCACGGGACAGACCCTGCAGGTGCCGTGGGTTGGCTGCTGTGCCAGGCTAGGTGCAGGAGGAGGAGGAGGTCACGGGACAGACCCTGCAGGTGCCGTGGGTTGGCTGCTGTGCCAGGCTAGGTGCAGGAGGAGGAGGAGGTCACGAGACAGACCCTGCAGGTGCCGTGGGTTGGCTGCTATGCCAGGCTAGGTGCAGGAGGAGGTCACGGGACAGACCCTGCAGGTGCCGTGGGTTGGCTGCTGTGCCAGGCTAGGTGCAGGAGGAGGTCATAGGACAGACCCAGCAGGTGCCCATGGGTTGACTGCTGTGCCAGGCTAGGTGCAGGAAGAGGTAACGGGACAGACCCAGTAGGTGCCGTGGGTTGACTGCTGTGCCAGGCTAGGTGCAGGACGAGGTCACGGGACAGACCCAGCAGGTGCGCTGGGTTGACTGCTGTGCCAGGCTAGGTGCAGGAGGAGGTCACGGGACAGGCCCAGCAGGTGCCATGGGTTGACTGCTGTGCCAGGCTAGGTGCAGGAGGTCACGGGACAGACCCTGCAGGTGCCACGAGTTGACTGCTGTGCCAGGCTAGGTGCAGGAGGTCACGGGACAGACCCAGCAGGTGCCGTGGGTTGACTGCTGTGCCAGGCTAGGTGCAGGAGGAGGTCACGGGACAGACCCAGCAGCTGCCGAGCATATTCACGGGAACGCGTGCGTGTGTGTGTCTGTGTGTGTGTCTGTGTGTCTGTGTGTGTCTGTGTGTCTGTGTGTCTGTGTGTGTCTGTGAGTGTGTGTCTGTGTGTATGTCTGTGTGTGTGTGTGTCTGTGTGAGTCAAGGCCTATGCTACCATCAGTAGGCCTGGGCTCTGGGTTGTTCTTCGTGCTTTCGGAGTCCTTGACCC